AATGTATGTATGTAATGTAATGTATGTATGTATGTATGTAATGTAATGTAATGTAATGTAATGTAATGTAATGTAATGTAATGTATGTATGTATGTATGTATGTATGTATGTATGTATTAATGTAATGTATGTATGTATGTATATATGTATGTATGTATGTGTGTATGTAATGTAATGTAATGTAATGTAATGTAATGTAATGTAAGTATGTATGTATGTATGTATGTATGTATGGGAGGGGTATTTATTTTAGGAATTTTTTTCGTTTTTTTTTTGGAATTTTTTTCGCTTTTGGCTTCTTGGCTTCTTGGCTTCTTGGCTTCTTGGCTTCTCGGCTTCCTGGCTTCTTGGCTTCTTGGCTTCTTGGCTTTTCGGCTTCTTGGCTTCTTGGCTTCTCGGCTTCTCGGCTTCTGGGCTTCTTGGCTTCTTGGCTTCTTGGCTTCTTGGCTTCTTGGCTTCTTGGCTTCTTGGCTTTTCGGCTTCTTGGCTTCTCGGCTTCTGGGCTTCTGGGCTTCTGGGCTTCTTGGCTTCTTGGCTTCTTGGCTTCTTGGCTTCTTGGCTTCTTGGCTTCTCGGCTTCCTGGATTCTTGGCTTCTTGGCTTCTTGGCTTTTCGGCTTCTTGGCTTCTTGGCTTCTCGGCTTCTCGGCTTCTGGGCTTCTTGGCTTCTTGGCTTCTCGGCTTCCTGGCTTCTTGGCTTCTTGGCTTCTTGGCTTTTCGGCTTCTTGGCTTCTTGGCTTCTCGGCTTCTCGGCTTCTGGGCTTCTTGGCTTCTTGGCTTCTTGGCTTCTTGGCTTCTTGCTTCTTGGCTTCTTGGCTTTTCGGCTTCTTGGCTTCTCGGCTTCTGGGCTTCTAGGCTTTTCGGCTTTTTGCTGGTTTATGCGGCTTTTGGTGGCTTTTTGGCTTTTCGCATCCTTTGCATTCCCAGTTCCTCTTCGGCAGGTGGCGTTTTTCCGACATCATGGGGGGGGCTGCCGCCCCCCCAACCCCCCCGCTACGTTTTAGATTTTCTGCAGAGATTTAATTAGTTGCACCCCTAGTTGAATCATCAATTCTTCGAACATCATGGGGGGGTTGCACCCCTAGTTGAATCATCAATTCTTCGACCATCATGGGGGGGGGCTGCCGCCCCCCCCAACCCCCCCGCTACTTTTTAGACTTTTTGCAGAGATTTAATTGCACCCCTATTCAAATCATCACTTCTGCAAACAACATCGTGGGGGGGGCTGCCGCCCCCCCCAACCCCCCCGCTACTTTTATATTTTTTTACAGGGATTGACATGCCCTCCTACTTGAATCATCATTTCTTTGACCCCGTCACACGATTTGTGGGTGATGCTAGGGATGTTGGTGGGACATGCGGGGTATATTTCGCGAGAACATGCTGTAAAATACGACACTTTACTGGCCCGGCAGAGATTGAATTGCACCCCTGTTTGAATCATCACTTTTTCGAGCGTCCAATTTCGCGAGAAAATGCTGCAAAATACGACATTTTAGGTAATCTGTGTAGTCCGTGTATGTCTGTATGTATGCATTTCTTCGAACATCATAGGGGAAGCCACCCCCGCCAACCCTCCCGCTGCCTTGTAAATTCTATCACACCCTTTCTTGAATCATTGCACCCCTACTTGAATCACCACTTCTTCCGACATCATGGGGGGGCTGCCGCCCCCCCCCAACCCCCCCCCCGCTACGTTTAGATTTTCGACAGAGATTTATTGCACCCCTATTGTTGAATCATCAATTCTTCGAACATCATGGGGGGGGGCTGCCGCCCCCCCCAACCCCCCCGCTACTTTTTAGACTTTTTGCAGAGATTTAATTGCACCCCTATTCAAATCATCACTTCTGCAAACAACATCGTGGGGGGGCTGCCGCCCCCGCCAACCCCCCCGCTACTTTTATATTTGTTTACAGGGATTGACATGCCCTCCTGCTTGAATCATCATTTCTTTGACCCCGTCACACGATTTGTGGGTGATGCTAGGGATGTTGGTGGGACATGCGGGGTATATTTCGCGAGAACATGCTGTAAAATACGACACTTTACTGGCCCGGCAGAGATTGAATTGCACCCCTGTTTGAATCATCACTTTTTCGAGCATCCAATTTCGCGAGAAAATGCTGCAAAATACGACATTTTAGGTAATCTGTGTAGTCCGTGTATATTCAAATCATCACTTCTGCAAACAACATCGTGGGGGGGGCTGCCGCCCCCCCCAACCCCCCCGCTACTTTTATATTTTTTTACAGGCATTGACATGCCCTCCTACTTGAATCATCATTTCTTTGACCCCGTCACACGATTTGTGGGTGATGCTAGGGATGTTGGTGGGACATGCGGGGTATATTTCGCGAGAACATGCTGTAAAATACGACACTTTACTGGCCCGGCAGAGATTGAATTGCACCCCTGTTTGAATCATCACTTTTTCGAGCATCCAATTTCGCGAGAAAATGCTGCAAAATACGACATTTTAGGTAATCTGTGTATGTCTGTATGTATGCATTTCTTCGAACATCATAGGGGAAGCCACCCCCGCCAACCCTCCCGCTGCCTTGTAAATTCTATCACACCCTTTCTTGAATCATTGCACCCCTACTTGAATCACCACTTCTTCCGACCTCATGGGGGGGCTGCCGCCCCCCCCCAACCCCCCCCCCCGCTACGTTTAGATTTTCGACAGAGATTTAATTAATTGCACGCCTAGTTGAATCATCAATTCTTCGAACATCATGGGGGGGGGCTGCCGCCCCCCCCAACCCCCCCGCTACTTTTTAGACTTTTTGCAGAGATTTAATTGCACCCCTATTCAAATCATCACTTCTGCAAACAACATCGTGGGGGGGCTGCCGCCCCCGCCAACCCCCCCGCTACTTTTATATTTGTTTACAGGGATTGACATGACCCCGTCACACGATTTGTGGGTGATGCTAGGGATGTTGGTGGGACATGCGGGGTATATTTCGCGAGAACATGCTGTAAAATACGACACTTTACTGGCCCGGCAGAGATTGAATTGCACCCCTGTTTGAATCATCACTTTTTCGAGCATCCAATTTCGCGAGAAAATGCTGCAAAATACGACATTTTAGGTAATCTGTGTAGTCCGTGTATGTCTGTACGTATGCATTTCTTCGAACATCATAGGGGAAGCCACCCCCGCCAACCCTCCCGCTGCCTTTTAAATGCTATCACACCCTTTCTTGCAGAGATTTAATTGCACCCCTGTTCGAATCATCACTACCCCGCTCTGTTTTTCTTAATTGTTTTTTTTGTATTTTTTTTGCTGGGATTGAAATGCCCTCCTGTTTGAAGCATCATTGTTTTGACCCCGTCAACCCGCCAGCTACATTTTTGGATTTTGTTACCCACGATTTGTTGGTGATGCTAGGGATGTTGGTCGGACATGCGGGGGATGTTGAAAACGATGCTGGGGATGTTGACGAGCTAGTGTAAAATGCGTCAATTTCGCGAGAAAATGCTGTAAAATACGACATTTTGCTGGCCCGGACGAAAAACGAAAAAAATTCCCAAAACAAAACGAAAAAAATTCCCAAAATAAATCCGCACCCGTATGTATGTACGAATGTATGTATGTATGTATGTATGTATGTATGTAATGTATGTAAGGAATGTAATGAATGTAATGTATGAAATGAATGCAATGGATGAATGTATGAAAGACGTCCAAAAAATGGAGTTTTCCAGATTTTCGGCAAAAGGATGTAGGAAGCCCAAGCCAGCAAAAAAGCCGGCAGGGGGAATCGAGCCTGGGACCCCTGTTTTGCGACACCCGAAGACTACGTTTAGTGGAACGTCATCAAATTGCCGCGCGGTAGGAGGGGGGGAGGGGGGGGGGGGGGTGGGGTGGCGACCGAAAAACCATGCGTATTTGACGTGTCCCGGGGGGGGACTAAGGGGGGGGTTATCCTCTATCCCCTCTTAGGTATCCAATAGTCCTCTCTTTGGTATCCGACACTCCGAGCAATGTCGGCGGACTTGGAGCAACTGTATACCTAATTACCTGATGTGACGAACCTGTGTGTGAAGTGAAGCGCAGTTGTCCTCTGGGCAGTGATGTACTGTCTACTGTAGCTGTACTAAGGCAGGTCTGTACATAGGCTCAAGGCCTTGGGATGTATGGGCAGCGGATGTAGCCCAACTGTACTGCTAGAGAAAGCATGTAGTATTTAGCATCATAATATATATATATATATTTTACATACAACATTTTCTGAACGTTATGATCGCATATGACAGACACTTTCGACGTGCAGGTGATGGTCCTGGGAGACACATGGTGTGGTGTTGAGGCGTTCACCACGAGTCCCGCGGGTCTGTTGCAAAGCCAAGCGTCCAAGGATGACCCCGATGTCGCGCTCAGCTACATCCCAGATCGGACTGGTCAGAGCCCCACACAGGCCTTCGCGAAATCAAATTCAAGACAGACGTCCGAAGAACTCCGATTCGAATTCGCTTCGAATCCGCCCAGGTCACGACCAGGCGCCGGCGCTCCCGGCGCCCGCTGCGCCCGCGGCGCCCGCGGCGCCCGCGGCGCCCGCGGTTCCGGTGCTGCAGGTAAAGATTCAGACAGGTGGGGCGGGTGGCCGGGCAGGGGGCCGGACTGGGGTCACGTGAGTCATACGGAACTTCGAACTTCCGTGGCCATGCCCATGCGCAGGTTGCAAAGAAGGTGTCGAGAAGGAGGTGGCGGGGTGGGTCATTGAGGGGTGGGTGGCGAGCCCTTTCCTCAGGCTGGGCCAGTGGACAAGGACTTCCTGATGCAGGCTTTGATCACTTCCCCCCGATGTGTTCCTCTGCAGAGAACTCAGGTAGCCAGTGCAATCTGAGCCCTCACAAAGTGATGGGCAAATTCAACAGCCACAATCGGTGCGCTCGAGCGATCCAGAAGGCTGAGAAAGGCGTTCGGGAAGCGCGAGATGCGCGATGCGAGACACGAGATGGGTGAGTTTGATAATTTTGTCCCGCTCGAAGGACTTCTTGGGCCGCGAGTTGGATGTTTGGTCGGTGCTGCAGCAATTGAATCAACGGCGAGCTGTAGTTGCGCTCACCTCGGACACGGTTTGCAACTGGAGCTGACTGAGACCCACAATGCAATCGACAGGTGACCCACACTGCATGACCCACAGGTGTGTGCAGCTCCTGGGCATGACTTCGGGATTGGCAAGACCGTGATCCTGGATGCGGTTCACAGGGCCTTCACTCTTTTAGCTTGGCTCTGAGAATACGAGACACGAGATGCAAGAGAACCCGAACTGAGGGCCACAGCTGCGTGGCGGTGCCGCTACGGTCGCTGAGCCAGGCTTCCTGGGCAGGACGGGCACGTGAGCAGTGTCAAGATGAGTCAAGACTGAGAGAGAGAGAGAGAGAGAGAGAATGAGTCGGAATGCGACACGACAGAGAGAAGTGAGGAGCACATTTCCCGGATAAGGACATGCGATGCGATTGTGATTTCGAGAAGATGCCTTGCGCAGGCCACTGGATCGAGAAGGCCAATGTGGCCATTCGACTTGCCATGCGAGAGCACAGACCTTACGAATTCACCATGAAATGTCTCATTCATGATACGTCTCCGCGACACGCAAGGTGCAGTGCCAGGTCAACAGGTGCGCCTGCCCGCCTGCCCGCCTGCCCGCGTGCTTGCGACGATCTGCATGCGCATGGGGCACAGGCGGCTTTCGGCGGCGCCGAGTGCAGGCACGCGTTTCGCGAAAGCTTCCGAAAGGGACACGTGATACGCTGCCGATCGGTGCCGCATGTCATCGCATGTCTCATGTCTCGTTGTGTGTTATGATTTCTGTGCCAGGGCACACCTAGAACGGGCCCCCCGGCCTGAGTTGCGCACAAACGAGGGAAAGGCGAATTGGGCATTGCGACCTGAGTGCCAAGGATTTCATCCACTCTCTGCTCTGACCCAAGTTCTCCCAGACTGTTGGCAAACGTGCTTTGCTTTAAAAGCTGGCACGGCTTTCACCGACAGGATCCTCAAGCTGCAGCTTGCCTCTTGGACGACTTGGTGGAAGACATGCTGGCGTTCGCAGACCTGTGCGATGCCCCTCGGCTTGGGCTGGGCAAGATGGATGCTGGAGAAAAGATGTGAAAAGATGCCAAGAAATGCCAAGAAAATCCAGTGCGTCCAGTGCGTCCAGTGCGTCCAGTGCGTCCAGTGCGTCCAGTGCGTCCGTTGCAAAAGCAATCGATTGCGAGTCGAGTCGAGAGTCAAGTCGCGAGGCCCGGCCGGACGCCAGCCGGATCCTGCTGTTGCTGGATGAGTGCGACCATTTGGTGCAGCAGCAGGCCTTCCAGGACGATAGTCATGTTTCTTGGAACCTGTGTCATATTCAGTTCTGGATGGCAAGGACGCGCTCGCCGTTTTGCTGCAACGATGCTCTTCTTACAGCATTGTGTTAAGCACGCCAGCTGCTCAGCGAGCTGCTCTCACTTCTGGCCGAGCCGTCGAGCCGTCGAGTCGAGCTGCGAGGCATCAGCCAATGGTGCCAGCAGGGGCCAGTAATTTCAAGGTGGTGCAGCACAGAGTGCAGGCGCCAATAGATTTGAACCATGGAAACAGACATGTAACGAACTTGTAATGCCGTGTTACATGCTACGAACTGTTGCGTTCACGTTTTGCATCGTCTCGCGTTCCCGCTTCCCGTTTTTCGTGCAGGGCCTTGGGCCCCGTGACTCGGCGCGGCTCTTGCTGCGGCGCGCCCCACGGCCCCTGCGCTGGGGAGAAGTGCCGTGGCCTCGGAATCGAGCTGACAGCCGACGAGTTGAACGTAATATGTTGGAATGAGCCGTTACATTAACAAATTAACACTTCACTCTGGATCTGATTTCGTTTACCCTGTGAGGCTGCCAGATGCTTTTGATCCGTCAAGCCTTGTGGTCCTCAACAAGGCGAATCAACACTCGAGTCATCTCGAGTCCCTTCGATTTCGACATGCCATCCTTGGCACTCTCTTGTATTGCTTGTATTTCCATTGCCAGTGCCCCCACCTTGGCATGTTCAAGCGCCGTGCGCGCAGGCGAATGAGTCGGAGGTGTTAGATGCCGTGGCGTCCCAGGCGCATGTTGCTGCCCTCAAGGGCAACCCTCGCAGGCAGGTTGGAACATGTTGAAACGGTTGCGAGGCGTGAGACGCGTGACCCAGATGTCATGTGCGTTTGCCAGGCTTATTGAGCTTGCCAATAATTTAGAGTCCTTGTCTGAGAACTAGCGACTCGTGCCAAGTCCGCGCTCATTTCGCTCGCTGGCCGATCTGGCACCCAAGCGCACGACTTTATGAGGCACCAACGAAAGCTTTGAGAAATCCAATGAAACTGGGGAAGGATTGGATCCTTAAGTATGAGGCTCGCCGAATTTGTTTCTCAGAGTTGAGGCCTTGACTTTTGGCACTTGTAGAGCTTTGCTGATCTATCTCACTCTAGCCAGTTTCACCGGATGGATCCGCAGCATACTAGGCCTACGCCAGGAAATATGCTTCGGAATCCAAGGATTCGGATTACGGAGGAACGCCTTGAATACTTGAGGCCGAGGGGAGGGAGGCTAAGGCGCGAGCACAGAGCCTCTGGCCCCAGTTTGCGCAGTTTGCTCTCGCGCTGGCTCGCAGCACAGTTTCACACAGCCAGGGCTCAAAGATCAGAAATTCAAAGTCGCAGTGCCGTCGTAGAAAGACCTTTGGGCACCGCGCCATGTCGGGGACTCGCCTATTTCCTTAAGCCAGAAAACTGAGTGCGCAGCCATGGCCTTAAATCTCGCGCATAGAACCACAAGTCAATTGGATTTGGACGAGGACGCTCAAGAGAGCAAGGTGATGGAATTCTGGGAGAGTTCTGTGCTCGAGGAGGTCCGATGAGTTGTTTTTGATTTGAGTGAGCTGAGTGAAGTGTGAAGTTTCAGGTGTGCAGAAGGAAGTCCTTCTATGACGGCGAGGCACAGCATGAGGCCGAAGAATCGGTTGGGTTCACTTTGTGAGGCCGTTGCAGTGCTGGCTCCAAGCCACGGCCATGCGCCGCTCCACAGGACTGCATGCCTTGACGTTGAAACCGTTGCCGCAGTCTTAAAAACATCCCGCACCTCTCCGCCTCTCCGCCTCTCCGCTTTCGCACGCTCTCGTGCTCTCGCGCTCTCGCGCTCTGAGTGCCAGGCCGAAGCTCCCTGGCGCGCTGGTGCGAGGAGTGGCCCCTTCGCTGTCTAACGGGCGCCTCTCCAACTCTCCAGGCTCCCGCAGCGAGCTCCCCAGCCTGCCACGCCCAGAGCGCCAGGGCCCCAGGGCCGCCAGGCCCCAACCCGCTCCCGTTCGCGCCTTTCGCTTACTTTGTCTTTGGCAGAGGCTCCCTTTGGCCCCACTGCGACTTTGTCAGGTGGGCCGTGATGGGCCATGTCGTTGGCCGCTTGCGGGCTCCGTCGCTCAGTCGCTCAGTCGCAGGATGGCAGAGGTGCCGCTGGGAATTCCGGGCATCGGTCCTTGGCCACGACCGTCGCCTAGGAGCGTCGTGTCGTGGCACTGTGCCGATTGGTGCCGTTGCGCCACGTTGCGCCACGTTGCGCCACGTTGCGCCCATCGGAGCTGTATGTGGGGCCGTGGAGGCCATCGGAGCCGCCTGAGCCAGAGCCAGACTTCGAGCCAGAGGAGATCAAACTCTTCGACGCCGAGGCCGCTTCAAAGGTTCGAATAATCGAATCGATCGGAAAGTCGACTCAGTCTTGTGAGTCCATTCAAGGCTGCTTTGGCAGCCCTCCGCAGAGAGAGGGGCATGCAAAGGCCCGGAACTCAATTTGTCAATTCACCCCTGAGTGCCCTGAGAGGGAAAGCGGCGAAGCAAAAGACACGGGCATGTTTTGTTTACCCAGCAAGCATCCATCGCCAAACAAGCAAGTGGCGAAATTGGACAAATGCAAATCGCTTGAGTATCAATGCTGGAAGGTCACTTGACAGCAAGCCCTGCTTTGCAAGGACCACTTCTGAACGAGGGCGGCCCCTAGGTGGGCGATGTGGAATAGTCTTTAACTGCTGTTGTCTTGGATGGTTGCAGCCTGGTTCTGAAGCCTGCTAGAATATTAAGTGGTAAAGGAGGTCTGGCACCCAAGCTTGAGCCCCATTTGCCAGTATTGTTCTGACGTTTGTCATCCGGAGCCTCGAATGAGCCCTAGTGGATAAGAATGCAAAGGCTTCAGAATCGACTTGGTCTGTGTTGGCTTTGAAGCCTGCATGTTGGCGTCGGAACACGAGAGAAGCCAGTCTGCAGGCCGAGATGAAATGGAGCGCTTCGAGGCAAAACATATGCAAAACATATGTGGCCCTGCGCATTTTCAGTGAGCGACCCAGAGGACCGAGAGGACCGAGAGGACCAAGGGGACCGGGGCCGAGGGGGCAGAGACGGCCGAGAGGGCGGAGGCGAAGGAGGCGAAGGAGGCGAAGGAGGCGAAGAGCATGAGCTCCGAGAGCTCCGAGAGCTCCGAGAGCTCCGAGAGCTTCGGGACGCGGACGCGCGCAAGGCGGGGGAAATGACTCGATATGCCGACGTCGACTCGACATCGGCCAGGCCACTGCCCGGAGGCGTGGGAACGCATGCCACTCTATCGGATGTCTGACACCCAGATGACTTCAAGTTCCGTGAACTTGACATCCACGGAAAGCCAGAGTGGCCGAAACCCTGATGACGAAATCTACCTTGCTAGCTTAAGTATACACGTGATATATGTATATAGGCACCTCAATTTTGACCGTCCAACTATGCCTGCATCTGCACTTGACTGCAACTCTATCCACCTAAAATGCTTTAAAGCGCTTTGAAGCACTTTTGGATCCAAGATTCAAGATCGCCAGGACTAGATCTGGAATCTTGAATCCAGTATGGGGCCCGCAAAACGTTTTGAAGCGCTTCAAAGCACTTTTGGAGAGGGCCATTTACTGGACGTCAGCTTCTAGTCATCCTGTTCGGTTGTGCGCCTTCTCATTTTGGACTTGCGTGCGTTAAGTACAGAAAATAGTTCAGCATATGGACATTCAACAACTATTTTTAGAACATGTCTTAGAATTGAAAAAAACACTGTAAATGGCAGTGTTTGCATGCTTCTTAGCAGGTTTTGCACAGAACATATTTTGTTCAAGGAAAGTAGTTGCTTTAGCAGACAGCGTGGCATTGATCGATCAAGGCATACAAGAAGCAGATGTTTGGGTATTGGCCAAGGAGGCTCCCCGGATTCTGCCCATTCTTTGCTTCGCTTTTCTCCTTCTCTCCGCACTTCTGCCCGCTCGCTCCGCTCTTTCTGCTCAGTCTCGACTTTACACTTCTCTCTACTCTTCTCTCTACTCTTCTTGCCACTCTTCTAGCCACTCTTCGCTGCGCTGTTTTATTCTTAGTCTTTGCTCCGATCCTTTACCCACTCTTCCCTCTGCCCTTTGCTCCGCTTTTTGCTCGATTCTGGTCCCCACTCTTACAACTTATGCGCTCTGTACTCTGCACATTGTTCCCTGACATCGTTTGTCGGGCCCCAAGTCATCCCAAGTCACTTTGACATCCGTTTTGTCCGGTCCAGAGCATGGCTTGGAGACATCAAGGTGCACGTGTCCCCCTCTATCCAACAAAGTTCCTTGCCTTGGGGCTTGCTCGAGGGTCCGTGCCGAATGGGATGCATGAAGCTTGGAGCATGTGCCGATATGCGGAGGGCTAACCCCTCGGGCGCTTCTCATGCAGGGAGCTGACGCCTGCCACGCGGAGCCTGGCGCAGGCGGAGGCCATGATCCTTGCCTCTCTCAGGCCGAGTCGAGGGGCCGGACGGAAGTACCACGCTGCACCCGTGTTTGGCTGCCCAAATGCCAAATATTGCCCACTGAGAAAACGCACAATACCGCACACATTTGCAGCATTGCGTGGTCTTTGCGTTGTACGGATTGTATACACTTCGACCTGTGGTTCATTTGAAACCTTGGTTGCATTTCTGGGGGCAACGGCAGGGGTTTCCCGCACCTGCACGAGGCACAGTTGTTCACACACGCAAACAATACGTGTTTTGCTTTGCTGCTCCCCATTCATCTGGCCCTGCTTTGCTGGACCTGCGCGTCGCACGTTGGCGCCGCACGGTCAAGAGCAGCGCCTATATCGATGTGTGAAGATCTCAGGTCCAGCCTTCCTCTTTCCCCCTTTCCCCCTGCGTCCGCGGAAGTTCGAGCGCGTTGCGCCGGGGTACGCGTCTCGCGTCTGGGTTGGAAATGGACGATTCTCACGACCCTGGTTTCATGCACTTTGGATCCAATTAGACCCAGCCTCAAGGTTGCTTTGCAACATGTCAACGTATTGTTGGCCACCGCAGGAAAGCTAGATTGAAGAATCCTGAACCCGGACCTTTAGTTAATGAGATTTGATCTAGATTTCTCCAACCATTGAGGATTGAAAGCCTAAGGTTCTGAAGCCCTTGATCAACCTACAGACTAGTTGGGGCCCAAATCTGGAGATGTTCTGCTCAAGTGTCCCAACCGCACAGTCCGCATGTATATCGCATCCATGTTCACACGCACTGTGCTGCGGGACGCGAGACTGCGCGAGGCCACGGCAGCAGCTGCGTCGCATCGACATGGTCTCTCAGCCGCCCGTGGTTGAGTTAGCCATCGCCCCACATGCATCACCATCCATCGACGAATCGAGTTCTGTCGGGCGCATCCCACCGAGCGAATGCCAAGCGCTTGCTGCTAAGGAGCTGCCCAGCCGCGTAGAGCGCCCGATTCGGAAGAAGACTACGCCCAGGCGCATGGAGATTTCTTTATAGAGATCTGAGTCACGAGCTCTACTCTGAGCTAAGTCGCAGGCGAAAGCTCTCGGTCAGAGATCTCCGAGCGCGAGAGAAGATTGGGAAGCTCTTGGCGCGCAAGTTGTGTGAGCGCGCGTCCCGCCTCAGTGCCAGGTCGCCCACTATGAAGTGAGATCCATCCGAAGAGAGGAGGACGGGAAGGGGGCAAGGTGCGAGAAAGCAAGCTGCTCCCTAGGTCCCTCAAGTGAAGAGCCGCACGCTGCGAGTCGTCTTGGCAGGGGAGGAGTTGTGAACCGTTGAGTGGCTGAGCGTGAAGGAAATTGGCGCAAGGCATGTTGGGCATGTCCGGGCATGTTGACCAGGAGAATTCCCCGGATGCATTGATCGAGGGCATGTCCTTGCTGCAGAATGCACAAAACCTCATAGGCGAATGCGGGCAAATGCGCAGCTCCCTTTTGTGCGGGGGAGCCAGATGAAGAAGCCGCAAACAGCAAGGGAGAGAGAGAGGGAGAGCGGGAGAGCGAGAGAGAGTCAGAGAGCATCGATACAAGGGCCAGAGCCCCAAGGCTGGCAAATGCCGCGGAGAACATCCAAAGGGGAGCGCGCCAAACTACACCGCTCGAAGGAGCAAATCGCGCGGCCAGCAGCTGGGCTAGGGGCTTATTCTCGTCCTTTTCGCGGCTTGGGCCGAAACCCTCCATGGTGAGTGAACGCTCCGCGACACTCAAAGACGTTACCGTTTGTGAAGAAAGAAAACACAGGGGCCGCAAGCAAGTTTCGAAGCCACGCTAGTGCCGGCAACATTGAGAGGAGAAAGAAAGACAAAGGCCACAAGCAAGTTTATGGCGTGACCAACTTCAAGAGGAGAACACAAAGGCTGCAAGCAAATTTCTGTAGCCACGCTACTGCCACGAACAACATCAAGAGGAGAAAGAAAGACAAAGGCCACACACATTTTTTCTCCAGCCGCGCTATGCAGTGAACCACTTGAAGAGGAGAAAGCAAAAAAAGGCCGCAAGCAAGTTTCAACAGCCACGCTAATGCCCCGAAGAACATCAAGAGGAGAAGCACACACAAGCGAGAAACGCATTTAAATGCTGCGAGCAACATCACGAGGAGAAAGCGTGCCAAGGCCACAAGCAATTTTCCACGGGCGCGCGAATGCCGAGAACAACAGTGACAGCAGAGAGGACACACAAATGCCCCAAGCGAATTTTCTATCGCCATGCCAGTGCGCTAACAACAAGAGGAGAAAGCACACCAAATCCACAAGCGTTTTATTACTGGCGCGCTAATGCCGCGAACAACATCGCCAGCAGAAGGCACACGTATGAAGGCCGCGAGCAGGTTTGTATAGCCACGCTCACAGCCGCGAGCAGCATCGAGAGGATAAAATGTCGACAGCCATGCCAATGCGTCGCACAACATCGATAGGAGACACCACACCAAGGCCACAAGACAAATTATTTAGCCATGCTAATGCCAATAGAACAACATCGCCAGGAAGGCAATGACACAAACCAAGGCACGAGCAACATCCAGGGGAGGACACTCACACCAAGACCACGAAGAAATCTCAGACACAAAGCAAGGAACAGTAGTCGACTGTGAAACGCGCACGCACCGACCCACACACGCCCCAAAGTCATAGGCATCCCAACCAATGCAGATGCCAACGAAACGTTGCAGGACTTTGGAATGATAGACACCTTTAGCGGCAGACTTAGACAGACGGAGCACGCAACATGGCAACCAAACAGAGATGGGGATGAGCGAAACAGAGACAACGGATTGCGCCTTAAGCCGAGTTTCGCACACCCGTCGCTTCAACCACAGCCAAGTTCCAGACACACAAAAATGAAGCTGAGCAAGGGAGGGCGCGCATAGCCGTATCAGCATTTCCGTGCAGGCGTCGCAGAGGATGGTGACAAGAGCCGCGTGACGCTGCAGACGCTGTGCTTGGTGGACCGCAAGGTCCGTGCCCGGCGCCCCAGAACCTCAGGAAACACGGGGAAGCGGAATGTAAAGAAATGCCATTGCATGTGCATGCATGCGCTGAATGCACGCATTCCAGAGCTGACTTGCGAGATTCGGCATGATCATGTTGCATGCCACAAGAGCACCCGAAAAGCGCAGGGCGAGTGTGAAAGAGCGTTGAAGTAGAGGCAGAGCCTTTCGACGGGACTCTCAACGTAGGTTCGCTCGGATTTGGCCGACGCGGTTCGAACCCTTGAGGACGGGATTCTTTTTGTTTTTATTTGTTAAGTTCTTGTTGCATTTTCTCCCGCCTTGGCCGTCCAGGAGCTGACGAAGGAGAAGGAGAAGCTCCTGATCGACATCACAAGCAGCCAGGCCGGCTTCCCGACTCTGGGCCCCCGAAAGGGCAAAGGGAAGAAGCTTCAAAGTGGTCCTAGCAATACTGTGACATCGGCATCTTTCGATCGGCTTGAAGGACTTGAAACGAGGAAAGCTTCGCTTTTGCAACATTTTGCGATTTGTGCATTCGCAATGCGCAATTCACATTGGTATTCCTGGAGAGCTATTCCTGATCTGGAAGCTCAATTCGACTTTTTCCCATTCCTTTGGCTTGCGTGGATATGTACAAACATCAGCACAGAGCGTGGTGAGCGCGCCATGATCAGTTTCTTCCCTAGGCCTTGGGACTTCAGGCAGGTGAAAATGGTGATCCTGCAAAGCACCTTGCCTTCACGCACCAGTCCGACACTCCCATCCGCGGGCTGGGGGGGGAAAGGGGGGTCGGGGTGTGTTGGTGTATCCGACTTGGTGTGCTTCTGAGTTTCGAGGCTTTCCGATGCTGTCCAGCAATCATGGGACATGATCAACAACGAGGTGAGCCCAGCTTTCTACTGGATTGATGACTTGAGCACGTGACTGCCAGGCCAGTGCGTGGGACAGGGCACAGGCGAGAATGGGCCAATGGCTGAAGGGAGAGATGAGACATGAGACGCCCAGGGTGAAAAGAAGTCGGAGAAGGCGAAGATGGAGAAGTCAGATAAGTCGGAAAAGTCCGAGAAAGGGAATGATCTCATCTCAGAGTCTCAGAGTCTCAGAGTCTCAGAGTCTCAGAGTCTCAGAGTCGAGCGAGCGTCGGGACAGCCGATGTCTTAAGGTCGAGAAGAGGACCAAAGTCGCTTGCAGCCGAGTGTCACAAGTCACAAACTCAGGGTCGACATGTTCAAAAGTCCGAGGCCGAGAAAGCAGCCTTGGATCAGGTGGGCGCCGGCACCGGGTGTGAGATTGGTGGCAGGACTCGCACCCTTTGGATCCCTTTGGAATGCCCGAATGCAAGCTGCTGCAAGCTGAACAGCTGACACCGCCGCTCACCTCACAGTATGTGTAGACATGGAAAGGACAGAGACAGATCCAATGCATTTGACCGTCCCAGTCGGAAATCTGCAATGAGCACCGTAGATGGACAACACAAGGCAGGATTCGACACGCCCAGGGAGCAACAAACATAAGCTGATATAAGCTGTGAGCCAAGTGAAGTGCTACTTTCGTGTGTACTTAGCTTGGTGCTGAGAGCGCCATGTAGCCCATGGTCGAGAGAGCCGCAGCCCTAGAGCTCGCATTGAGTCTGGCGACAGCAAGCCACTGAGGCAGATGAGCGTGCATCATGGGTGCTTCGGAGGCACACGTCAAATCGATTGAGGAACTCGGAGCGAAGGAACTTGGTGAGCCGCTATGACGGTTGACAGATGTTGGACAGATGTTGACAGATGTTGACAGACTCGACGCCCCAGGGTCAGCACCATCTTCGCAGTGCGCAGGGAGAAGCTGGAGCCAGAGTTGACATCTGTCCGAATGAATGTAATGCACGTAATGCATGTAGTGCTTGCGATGTAGCCGAGTGGCTTGCAGGACAAGTTTCTCCAGATCTTCTGGGAGGATCAGAACTCCAGCAGAACGCTTGATACTTTCCTCAATGAGGTCTCACCCTTAAATCTGAAAATCGCATCCAGCTGCTGAGCCGCAGCCTTCGGTCGCTGAGGTGGAGGTGCCTGCTGCCTTCTTCCATTTGCCGAATGCCTAGCCTGCGATTCTGCGATTGCGAAGTCGAAATGCAAAGTTGCGATTCGAATCGCGTGAATCGCGTGAACCGCGTGAGTTGCGAAGGCTTGTTCCAAACGAATCAAGTTGCCTTCAGGTCGGCAAATGGGGACAGCTGCAGCACTTCGACGGAGCTGCCCACAGCCAGCTTCCCAATCGTTAGGATGTTCAGACGGCAAATTGCACGAACGGCACGAACGGCACGAACAGCACGCATTTCAGGCAGGCCAGATGAAGAAGAAGGCGAGCACAAGCGGGAAAGCACTGCACATTTTGATACATATTGCACATGTTGATACATGTTGATTCATTTATGTTACAAATGTGCTATGCTGCAGAGCTGCGAGAGGTCTTGGCCCTGGTGCGGTCCAAGCACGAGGTGGAGATAGAAATAGGCGCTGAAAGAGTAAGAAAGCGTTAGAGATGCGTTCAATCGAAGCCGTGCGACAGGACCTGGCAAGCGCCCTGTGGTGTTTGTCGAGCTGGCAAAGGCAGAGACGGGGCCGCGGGCTGTGGGCTGCGGGCCGCGCGCTGATTTTGGGATATCGAGTTATCGGCTCGGTAGGGGATTATGGATTTGATCAACTCCTACTGCCACTCGGTCTACCTCTCTGTCCTGATGAACCCCGCGAATCAGCGTGGCTGGTCAGACCTTATTTCGAGAGACCTCATTGACAAGTTTCACAGCCACTTGGCAGTTTTCATTTTCTCGTCCAACGCATGCCACTCCGTGCCACTCCGTGCCACGCAGCTTGATTTTTCAATTTGAGAGACATTGGCATGGCCCACTCATGGCCTTGAGATGAGGTTTTTTGGCGACCCTGCATGTGACGGTGGGTCTCATGAAGGGGCAGACTCTTTTGCCACTGCCGCCTCGGGAAGCTGTACAGGCTTCGAAGCTTTGCATTTGACACATTGGACGCATTGGATGCCTTGGACGCATTTGGCGCATTTCCGGAGGATGGCGCTGGCCAAGGTCCGAGACTTTTCGCAGTCAAACTTGTGCTTCGAAGATCGTCAACAAGCATGAAATTGTACGAGTTCCTTGTTTTGAGTTCACGCTTCCCCAGGCAAGGCGAATGCAGCCAGCAAGGACCGTTGTCGCATGAGCTCGCTCTGCGAAGGCATGTGTCACGGGTGTTGCGGGTGTCACGTGAAGCAGAGGATCGAGTTCACGTGCTCGAGGGAGCAGCCCCTTGGACGACATGAGCCATACGGGCCCCATACGGGCCCCATACGGGCCCAATGAAGGGCCAATGCGGGGCCATTGCGGGCGGTAGGTGATTACCTGGACGAAGCAGGTGCGATATGTGCTGAAACAGGAGCGAAAAGGGGACAAGTTGCACTAAGCTGTAGCATTATCGCCATATTATCGCCCAGTGTTCAAAGCGAATGCGATGTGTTTTCAATATAGTGTCAGCGGATGGGGATGCCATAGGAGCCGGAGCACGTCTTCAGAGAGGGCAATCCTCAGCCTGATGCAGAATTGCAGTTCTGGCGCAATAGAGAGTCTTGACGGCACTGGATATGTCATTTCAGCCCAGGGATTGGCGGAGCTGGCAAGGCCAACAATCTGAACTCCATCCACATGCAGTTGCAGATGGAGGGCGTCAAACGAGCTTGGCCCTGAGTGCCATCGAGTGCCATCGAGTGCCATCGAGTGCCATCGAGTGCCATCGAGTGCAGGGCAAAAGATGTATGGCCAACAGGCTTAGGGCCCCACTTAAGTCCCCCACAGCGGAAAGAGCGCTTCTGAGATCGGTGCTAGGTGCTGCGGTTCTTAGAGGCGAACAAGAGCACCTACGTGTCGCCCTTCGCGCGCCTGCAGAAGGAGGTGGAGGCACGCCACACACTGAACTCACGAACTCAGACCGTTCTCATTTTTTTCTTGTCTCAGGATAGCAGGGAGGAGGCAAACGACAACGTTCGGTTCCTGAAGACCTTGGAGCCCTTCGTGAACAGCTTGCTCTCCGAGTCTGTGGACTTTGAGGCGGCTTTCGGCTTCTGAGTGCGGCCAAGATATGCCATGCCAGGCCTTGGAGCGAATCTTCGACGACATCTTCCACATGCTATTGCTGATTTGGAGGCAGGGCCCAGGGCCCTGCAGGGGATCGACGTGTACGGGGATCGGGGATTGCACCATGCCAGGCACTCCAAGTACTACAACTCTCTTGCCCGCTTGGCGGTCATCGTCCGGCAGCTCTGCAACAGTCTGATCGCCCAGGACCGCAGAATCGGATCCGATACGCATCGGATACGCATCGGATATGCATCTTACGCATCTTGAACTTAAGAGACGCAGAGGCCACGCGCTACATCTCCAGCAGCAGCGTCTTCGAGATGATCTTGCAGAGCGAGGCGCGGGATGTTTTCTGGATGCACCGGATGCACGGAAGGCGCGCAGCGAAAAGCGGTTCTGCGCTGAGTTCCGGATTTCTATTTCGAGGCACATGAGTGCCATGACATGCTGGAGAATGTCATGCGGGCGCTGGAATCTCTTCAGGACTTGCAGCTAAAGCCGATCGATTGGACATATTGAATGAAATCGCTGGGAGGAGTCTTACCACAACTATCGAGCCTTGTCAGAGCAAGGCCCTGCCTGACCTGTCTACTTGGAAGGTTTTTGCCAAGCTGATCATCCCGCACAGGGTTGATCACGATTCTTGGGTTTGTTTGCATTCTATGGCAGGCAACTCGATGTCGGGAACTTGAGAAGGGGAAGCGGCTGAGAGAATGGACAGCCCACAGACTCGCTGACTCGCTCAGGTTGGGGAAGGATACCAGCCCCGGAGGACACCGAGATCCGGAGGCGCTGCTTCGGAATGCCTCATTTTGTGCCCCGAAGGAGTGGGCACTGGCTGGAGACTGCGAAACACCGTGGTCTTTGGTCGATTGGAAGCCTTTGGAGAGAGGGCCTGGTCCTCATGTGTTTCTCACATTTTCTCGTACTCGTATCTCTTCAGGTCTCAGACATCCTGGATTTTGTGAAGACAGTGTTGCAGTTCAACAAGCTGGAGAGAGTCGACATAGGAGGCCATTGCCTTCATGCTTGCCGATGCTTGCTTGTTTTTCCCGAATGCGTAGCGAAGGGTTCCCGTTTATAAGTGGGGGTCTGGGGGTGGAGGCCGTGTTCGCGAGGAGTTGCTCCAGAGTTCGCAACCGTCCGCAACCGTTCGCAACCGTCCGCAACCGTCCGCAACCGTCCGCGGTGAGGCGATAAGCGTGTGCCATTGGGATTCGTCGTGGAAGCTGCTGTTTTCGTTGGCCCTGTGCGCGAAGCGTAGCTTCTCGAAGCTCGACGTGTCGTTTCGCTGCGCAGACGCAGTGTTTTGGAAGGCTGCGTGTTCTCGTTGCCGTGCCACTGGGATTTGCGATCCAGGGGTGGTCGCTTTGAGGTGTCCTGCTTGGCAGGCGCGTCATAGTGTTTGCGCCGGCGCCGTTTTCGTTGGCCCTGTCGTACAATCGGCTCGTTTTCAAAATTTGTCGAAATCTTTCTGGCGCCACAGTCCCGTGCTAGTTTTGGATGTGTGTCGTAAACGTGTCAAAGTTGGATTTCGTGGCAGGTCCAGCACTTTGGATGATGTTGAGTTTGTGGCAAGCTTACTTTGCGTGACAGGCGGCGCAGCACTTTCGAGCGGTTTGGTTGAATTTCGTGGCTGGCGCGGCACTTTGGAGCTTTTGGTGCCTGGGTGTAGATTTCGTGGCAGGCACGTCACTTTGACTCAGCGAGATCGCTCTCGTCGCGGCGCAGTGCACATTTTGAGCACGCGAAGCGAACCATCTGCGCACTTTGGGTGGGTCGAATTGGTCTCGCTGTGGTGCGGTTCGCGTTTTGAGTGCGCCTGGGTGTAGATTTCGTGGCAAGCGCGTCACTTTGACTCAGCGCTCTCGCTGTGGCGCGGCGCACATTTTGCGAACGCAAAGCGGGCCCTCTGCGCACTTTGGGTGGGTCAAATCGCTCTCGCTGTGGCGCGGTGCGCATTTTGAGCATGCGAAACGAAACCTCTGCGCACTTTGGGTGGGTCAACTCGCTCTCGCCGTGGCGCGGTGCACATTTTGAGCACGCGACGCGAACCCTCTGCGCACTTTGGGTGGGTCAATCGCTCTCGCTGTGGCGCGGTGCGCATTTTGCGCACGCGAAGTGAGCCGTCTGCGCGCATCGGGTGGGTCGAATCGCTCTCGCTGTTGCGCGGTGCACATTTTGAGCGCGCAAAGTGAACCCTCTGCGCGCTTTGGGTGGGTCGAATCGCTCTCGCTGTGGCGCGGTGCGCATTTGGAGACACGCAGAAGTTTCGTTCAGGTGTTGCTGAGAAGTGCTGCTCAGACGTGTCCCTCAGAAATGTTGCCAGAAGTGGGGATCAGAAGTGTTGCTCAGAACTAGAACTGTTGATGAGATCAGAAGTGCGGATCAGACGTGTGGCTCAGAACTGTCGATGAGAAGTGTGGATCAGAAGTGTTGCTCATCAGTGTCAATCAGAAGTGTGGTTCAGAAGTATTGCTCAAACTGTCGATCAGAAGTGTCAATCAGAAGTGCGGATCAAAAGTGTTGCTCAGAAGTGTCGACCAGAAGCGTCGATCAGAAGTGTTGCTCAGAAAAGTCGATCAGAAAAAGTGTCGCTCAGAAGTGTTGCTCAGAAGCGTTGATCAGAAGAAGTGTAGTTCAGAAGTGTTGATCAGGTGTCGCTCAAAAGTGTCGCTCAGAAGTGTCAATCAGAAGCGTGGGTCAGAAGTGTTGCCCACTCAGACGTGTCGATCAGAAGTGTTGCTCAGAAGTGTCGCTCAGAAGTGTCGCTCAGAAGCGTCAATTCAGCAGTGTTGCTCAGAAGTGTCGTTCAGAAGTGTCGATGAGCAGTGTGGTTCAGAAGTGTTGGTCAGAAGCGTCAATCAGAAAAAGTGTGGTTCAGAAGTGTTGATCAGGTGTCGCTCAAAAAGTTCGCTCAGAAGTGTTGATGAGAAGGGTTCCTCAAAAGTGTCGTTCAGAAGTGTCGATCAGAAGTGTTGCGCCGAAGTGTCGCTCAGAAGTGTCGATCAGCAGTGTTGCTCAGAAGTGTCGTTCAGAAGTGTCGATGAGCAGTGTGGTTCAGAAGTGTTGGTCAGAAGTGTTTCTCAGAACTGTCGATGAGAAGTGTGGGTCAGAAGTGTTGCTCATCAGTGTCAGTCAGAAGTGTGGTTCAGCAGTGTTGCTCAAACTGTGGATCAGAAGTGTCAGGCACAAGCGCGGATCAAAAGTGTTGCTCAAAAGTGTCGATCAGGAGTGCAGAAAAGTCGATCAGAAAAAGTGTCGCTCAGAAGTGTTGCTCAGAAGTGCCGATCAGAAAAGTGTGGTTCAGAAGTGTTGGTCAGGTGTCGCTCAATCGTGTCGCTCAGAAGTGTCAATCAGAAGTGTTGCTCAGAAGCGTCAATCAGAAAAAGTGTGGTTCAGAAGTGTTGATCAGGTGTCGCTCAAAAAGTTCGCTCAGAAGTGTCAACTGTTGCTCAGAAGTGTTGATGAGAAGGGTTCCTCAAAAGTGTCGTTCAGAAGTGTCGATCAGAAGTGTTGCGCCGAAGTGTCGCTCAGAAGTGTCGATCAGCAGTGTTGCTCAGAAGTGTCGTTCAGAAGTGTCGATGAGCAGTGTGGATCAGAAGTGTTGGTCAGAAGTGTTGCTCAGAACTGTCGGTGAGAAATTTGGATCAGAAGGTGTCAATCAGAAGTGTGGTTCAGGACAGTGTTGCTCAAACTGTCGCTCAAAGTGTCAATCAGAAGTGCGGATCTAAAGTGTTGCTCAAAAGTGTTGCTCAGAAGTGTCGATCAGAAGTGTCGATCAGAAGCGTTGCTCAGAAAAATCGATCAGAAGCGTTGCTCAGAAGTGTCGCTCAGAAGTGTCAAGTCAGCAAGCAGTGTTGCTCAGAAGTGTCGTTCAGAAGTGTCGATGAGCAGTGTGGTTCAGAAGTGTTGGTCAGAAGTGTTGCTCAGAACTGTCGATGAGAAATTTGGATCAGACGTGTTGCTCATCAGTGTCAATCACAACTGTGGTTCAGCAGTGTTGCTTAAACTGTCGATCAGAAGTGTGCATCAGAAGTGTGGGTCAAAAGTGTTGCTCAGAAGTGTTGATCAGAAGTGTTGCTCAGAAAAGTCGATCAGAAAAAGTGTCGCTCAGAAGTGTCAAAAGTGTCGCTCAGAAGTGTCAACCAGAAGTGTCGATAAGAAAAAGTGTAGCTCAGAAGTGTTGCTCAGAAGTGTTGCTCAGAAGTGTTGATCAGAAGAGGTGTGGTTCAGAAGTGTTGACCAGGTGTCGCTCAAAAGTGTCGCTCAGAAGTGTCAATCAGAAGTTGTGCTCAGACGTGTCGCTCAGAAGTCTAGTGCGCGCAGGAAAAACGCAACTTTGTAGCGCAAGTCTAGTGCGCGAAGTACAGGTTTCGAGCTCTCGCTGGAAAATCGGAAGCACAAGTGTAGCGTGCGAAGTACAGGTTTCTGGAAAATCACAACTTTGAGTCTAGTGCACGAAGTACAGGTTTCCAGGTCCAGCTCGAAAATCGCAACTTTGTAGTACCAGTCTAACGTGCGAAGTACAGGCTTCCAGCTCCAGCTGGAAAATCGCGACTTTGTTGTACAAGTCTAGTACGCGAAGTACAGGTTTCTAGCTCTAGCTGGAAAATCGCGACTTTGTAGTACAAGTCTAGTACGCGAAGTACAGGGTTCTAGCTCTAGCTAAAAAAGCGCGAATTTGTATTACAAGTGTAGTACGCGAAGTACAGGGTTCTAGCTCTAGCTGGAAAATCGCGACTTTGTAGTACAAGTCTAGTACGCGAAGTACAGGGTTCTAGCTCTAGCTGGAAAATCGTGACTTTGTAGCACAAGTAAGTCTAGTACGCAAAGTACAGCTTTCCAGCTCCAGCTGTAAATTGCGACTCTGTAGTACAAGTCTAGTACGCAAAGTACAGGTTTCCAGCTCTAGCTGGAAAATCGCAACTTTGAAGTGCATGTCTAGTGCGCGAAGTGTGCAGGCTTCCAGCACTAGCTGGAAAGTCACAACTTTGTAGCGCAAGTATATACGTGAAGTGCAAGTTTCCAGCTCAGGCTGGAAGATCGCAACTTTGAAGTGCAAGTATAGTACGCAAAGTACAGGTTTCCAGCTCTAGCTGGAAAATCGCAACTTTGAAGTGCATGTCTAGTGCGCGAAGTGTGCAGGCTTCCAGCACTAGCTGGAAAGTCACAACTTTGTAGTGCAAGTATATACGTGAAGTGCAAGTTTCCAGCTCAGGCTGGAAGATCGCAACTTTGAAGTGCAAGTATAGTACGTGAAGTACAGGTTTTGAGCTCCAGCTGGACAATCGCAGCTGTGTAGCGCAAGTCTAGTGCGCGAAGTACCAGCTCCGGCTGGAAAAATCGCAACTTTGTAGTACAAGTCTAGCGCGCGGAGCGCAGGTGTCCAGCTCCAGATTGAAAATCGTAGCTTTGTAGCAACAAGCGGAGCACGCAAGGTACAGTTTTACAATAAGCTGAAAAAATAAGTTGCGCAGTAGGCTTGATTGCGAGCCCCATTGGCTTATGCCGAAAAATGTTCTCTAATTATTTTCTTGGGCTTGCGCAAAGTGATGCGCATTCGGGTTCGTGGGCTCTGTCTTGTTTTTTTCCAGTTTTGAGGCACCAAAGGCAAAGTGCTCTCCAAATGTGTCGAGAAGGCTCAATCTGGTCATTGCAAGCCCGTCAGACGTGCAGACTTGCTGAGGTGCATGAGGAATTTGAGAAGGCTGGGGGGCCGTGTCAGCATGCGACGTGCTTGACGGTTGTGTTCATGTACAGGCCGTTGAGAAGTTTCGCAGGGCTCTCAGTTGGACACTCGTCACCCGACTCAACTGAGCTGTGCTGTGCCCAAGGACGGGTTCCCTACGACATTTTCGACGTGCGGATCTCAGTGTTGAGAGAGCAAGCTGCAAGTGGCAGCTGAGGTGAAAGAGATGGCCTTTATAAGCGACTTTCACGAATTTCGGCTAACTATTCGCCTGGTGCTTATGTAAACTGAAACTGAACTTGTTGTTTTGTTTTTACTGTTGTTCGTTTTCTTGCGTTTTCTCTTGCGGCCTCTCAGAGTCTCAGGTGATCTGGACCGGCGATTGGGCAGCATCCTGGCGGCTGCCTTCCACGACCAGGACACGCTGCATGGCCGCGCCAAGCTCCTCGATGCCTTCGAGGCAAATGGGCAAATTGGCAAATTGAAGCAAAGCAAATCCGAGTTCCGACTTCAAAATTCTTCGACTTCCGAATTCCGAACTCAAATTCGGAAGTCGCACGTTTCGACTTCGAAACTCGGCAACTTCAGGGCCTGTTGGAGCGGCCGGTGATCCAAGCGGAGCTGGTGCGGAAGCAGCAGGCCCTTCGAAGCGCAATCAGCGCCCGTGTGTCCGATTCGTGTCGATTGTCGTATCGCGTATTTCATATTTCGAAATTTCCAGGTGCTGATCAACCAGTACAAGCAGGATGTGGACGAAATCCAGGCAATCTGTTGGGCCTATTTGGCTCAATCGAGCCGCGGCACGGCGCAACGCACAGACGGCGAGGCAAACTTCACGGCCAACGAGGATAAGGTCGACAACTGCGAGCCAGGCGACAAAACGTGACGGGGAGACGGGCAGCTGCGGGAATCCATAAATCCATATCCAAACATCTGACAGATGATCCCGAGTCACGTTTGGCGTGTTTCGTTGTTTCATGTTGTTTCAGTGCTTTGACCGGTCAGATGCCCCGATCTTTGCCAACTTGCCGCCGGTGGCGGGAGCCATTTTCTGGGCTCGGAGCTTGCGCACTCGCCTCCTGGACGGTTACCCAGTAAGCCTCTTTTCGAACTCACATGCGCATTCACATGCATTCGCATGCGCACTCACATGTTTTTCTTCACAGGACCCTATGCCCAAGATTGTGGCCTACAACGAGCTCACCAAGTGCGAGGTGCATTGTGACCATTCGGGACGAAGCTCCGGTCAAATCGCCCGAGGTGCCCGAGAGCTTCAAGGAGTTGGAGCGCCTTCACCGGAGGACTCTGGAGGAGAGTTAAAGAAACGTATAGAAACCCACAGCAGATAGAAGCAGACAGAAGCAGATAGAAGCAGATAGAACATGAAGAAGAAAGACGTGAAGCGTGTGAAGTGTCAGATGGCGTAAGAGTGAGTGAAAGAGGGAGTGTGAGAGAAAGCAAAGCCAACAGTTCTCAGAGTGACAGACCTTGCACGACTACGAGCAACGTCGCTACTCCGAGTGGAAGAAGGAGGCCATTGCTGACTCGGGTTGTCCGCCATTCGTCGCCTTCACATCGAGTGCCGCAAGCTATGCAAAACGCAGGTTGGAGAGGCCGCAAAGCGGCTGCACATGCGCCTGCTTCGGCGACACGACAGGAGCAACGTGAACCATGCTCAAGCTTGCTCAAGCTTGCTCAAATGTGCTTGGAATGTGAGGACAGGGCTCTTGAAGGTGAACTTCGACCCAGCTTTGGTGCGCCTGCTCCGAGAGGCTGGGAGAAGGGAGAAGGAGAGAAGGAGAGAAGCTTGCAAATTTGTTCCCAAAATGCGCCAAAGTCGCAAAGTGCATGGCCAGGTCCGATTCTTCCTGATTTATGGCTTAGAGGCGGGATGTGACATGTGACCCATCTCGGGCCGCCTCGGGCCGCCGCGGGCCGCCTTGGGCCTGGCCATTGAGGATTGAGATTGAGAGGTGCCGCGGGAAGCCTTGACCATCTACTCTATGGTGGACACCTACCGGACCTGGACCAGCCAGTGCCTACCTGAGGGTAGAATCTTTTTTCAAGCCATGGCATGTGATCTGCAGATTGGATCATATAGTGGGGCTCTATAACTCGGTGCTGACAGACCTGCTTCCCGTAGAGGCACGGAAACAAGAAGAGTTGACGGAATGTTGACGGAGAATATTTGACCCGGACTCACGGACTCACAGTGCCAGGAACCGCTTCTCGAAGACCGAATTCTGAAGATGGACACGGTACTGGCGCGGAGACACGGATACACGAAGTCACGGAGACCGCCCGCATTCCACATTCCCCAAGTAATTAATTTGTCTACTGAGTACATGCTGAGCATACTGTAGATTCTTGAGATACCCAGAGTGCCTACATTTACTTGAGAAACAAGCATCCACACAAGTGTGCTTAAGCTGAGCTCTTGTTTCAGTTGGAGGCTGGTGCCTGCCAATGTTTAGCTTAAAAGCAAACCACACATGTCTGGCAAGCTGTGGTCGCTCAATAGAATGGCAACCAGATGCACATTTCACTCTACAAGCATTTCATCCTATGCTCAAGACAACTCTGCACGACAACTTTAGAGCCTCCGGCTCAGTCCGCCGACATTGTCCTCTCCCTTTTCTCCTTCTGCCTCTCTCCCTTGCCTCCCTTGTGTGTTCTGTCGTCCTCTCTCCCTCCCTCTGCTCCCCATCCTCCCCATCCCCCCAAGCCTCTCCATGCCCAGTCTCCCTCTCTGGTATGTATGTATGCATATATATATATGTGTCTGTCTGTCTGTCTGTCTGTCTGTCTGTCTGTCTGTCTGTCTGTCTGTCTGTCTGTCTGTCTGTCTGTCTGTATGTATGTATGTATGTATGTATATGTATGTATGTATGTGTATGTATGTATGTATGTATGTATGTATGTATGTACGTGTATGTATGTATGTATGTATGTATGTATGTATGTATGTATGTATGTATGTATGTATGTATGTAATGTATGTATGTATGTATGTATGTATGTATGTATGTATGTATGTATGTATGTATGTATGTATGTAATGTATGTGTATGTATGTATGTATGTATGTATGTATGTATGTATGTATGTATGTATGTATGTAATGTATGTATGTATGTATGTATGTATGTATGTATGTATGTATGTATGTATGTATGTATGTATGTATGTATGTATGTATGTATGTATGTAATGTATGTATGTATGTATGTATGTATGTATGTATGTATGTATGTATGTATGTATGTATGTATGTATGTATGTATGTATGTATGTATGTATGTAATGTATGTATGTATGTAATGTATGTATGTATGTATGTATGTATGTATGTATGTATGTATGTATGTATGTATGTATGTATGTATGTATGTATGTATGTATGTATGTATGTATGTATGTATGTATGTATGTATGTATGTATGTATGTATGTATGTATGTATGTATGTATGTATGTATGTATGTATGTATGTATGTAATGTATGTATGTATGTATGTATGTATGTATGTATGTATGTATGTATGTATGTATGTATGTATGTATGTATGTATGTATGTATGTATGTATGTATGTATGTATGTATGTATGTATGTAATGTATGTATGTATGTATGTATGTATGTATGTATGTATGTATGTATGTATGTATGTATGTATGTATGTATGTATGTATGTATGTAATGTATGTATGTATGTATGTATGTATGTATGTATGTATGTATGTATGTATGTATGTATGTATGTATGTATGTATGTATGTATGTATGTATGTATGTATGTATGTATGTATGTATGTATGTATGTATGTATGTATGTATGTATGTATGTATGTATGTATGTATGTATGTATGTATGTATGTATGTATGTATGTATGTATGTATGTATGTATGTATGTATGTATGTATGTATGTATGTATGTATGTATGTATGTATGTATGTATGTATGTATGTATGTATGTATGTATGTATGTATGTATGTATGTATGTATGTATGTATGTATGTATGTATGTATGTATGTATGTATGTATGTATGTAATGTATGTATGTATGTAATGTATGTATGTATGTATGTATGTATGTATGTATGTATGTATGTATGTATGTATGTATGTATGTATGTATGTATGTATGTATGTATGTATGTATGTAATGTAATGTATGTATGTATGTATGTATGTATGTATGTATGTATGTATGTATGTATGTATGTATGTATGTAATGTATGTAAGGAATGTAATGAATGTAATGTATGAAATGAATGCAAGGGATGAATGTATGAAAGACGTCCAAAAACATGGAGTTTTCCAGATTTTCGGCAAAAGGATGTAGGAAGCCCAAGCCAGCAAAAAAGCCGGCAGGGGGAATCGAGCCTGGGACCCCTGTTTTGCGACACGGCGGGGGGGGGGGTTGGCGACCGAAAAACCATGCGTATTTGACGTGTCCCGGGGGGGGACTAAGGGGGGGGTTATCCTCTATCCTCTCTTAGGTATCCAATAGTCCTCTCTTTGGTATCCGACACGCCGAGCAATGTCGGCGGATAGGCTTAAGCAACTCGAGAGCACCAATACAACTCTGCACCATTTCATTCCAAAAGTTGTTCGATTGCACATGTATCAAGTTGAGAGTTGCCCACAAGTCATTATACCTCTCAGCAATATCTCTTTAGATATCATAGACTCCATCGCAAAGCAAAAAAGCAATTCTCCCTTTGCTAGAGACATGTTCCTTCGGCTCGAAGTCTCAGGCCCCTGGCCTGACAGAGCTGAAATGGTCCCGGGAAGATCATATCCCGGACTTCATTGCTGGAGCCATGAAAGTGGTCAGCGACGTGTCTGCTATCGTGGACATCATGAAGGCATGGCGCAAATGCATGCACATGCCCATATGGATGGACATGAGTACTCACAGGGGGCACGTAGCCACCCGTGCCAACGAAAGGGCAACCTGCGCCGGATTTCCAACATCCTCTCGCAGTGGTGCAAAGAGTCCATGCAACTTGGCATAAAATGGTACTTCTGATACCTTTATATTGTGAAAGTCAGCGATCCCCGGTGACTGACGCTGACCAGAGTAGATGCAAGGACTTACTGGCATGGGCAATCGGAGGGGGGGGTTCAATGCTTTGTGCAGAAGCTTTGCTTCTTCCGAGGTGTTTGCTGTGCTCCACTTTGAAGGGTTTGCAGTGTTAGGTACTGTTGCAAGTGGTTGTGTTGTGTTTGTTTCCTTTGCCTTGAGTTCCCCAAACCAACATGAAGCCGGCCGGCACGCTCGCTCGCTCTCTCTTTCTCTCTCTCTCGCTATCTCTCTCTCCCTCTAGGGCTGCCGCCCAGTGTTCGCCAACCCTGAGCTTGAGTTTGCGCCAAGACCATAGCAAGGTTCAGAGATCGCTGCAAAAGCCCAGACCGCTAGCACGTGCTAGAGGACATACATACTCTCTGTTGTACATGTATATAATATGCGTAGCATATATAAGTATGATTGTGTTCGGTGTCATGAAGCAAGCCAATGTTTCTCGCTGTGAAATTCCATGCTCGTCACGGCAAACTGCAGCGCAACTACGGCAACTACCACTACTGCTACTCCTACCGCCAGTACTTCCACTACCGCTGCCACCACCACCGCGACTGCTACGACTACTACTACTACTACTACTACTAGTACTACTGCTCCGCGTTGGAGTGGGTTCGGCGGCACGCCGTCCTTCTTCTCTTCCATTACCAGATCAGCCTCCTGGTCCGTCTCAGTCGCCGTCATGAATGTCATGGAATCTGAGCTCATCCTTGGGCTCTCGCGCAGTTTGTTCGCCCCTCTGCCCCACGTCATGCACCCACCCCGTCCGTGTCCATTCAGATCCCTCGAAAAGCCTCTGAGCTTTCGATAGGAGAAGCTCGTCCGTGTCTCTCAACTCTCAACTATGGTAGGAGAAGAAAGCTGAAAGCTGGCAACGTATCCCCACAGTCCTTGTTGCGCTCCCGTAACGCGTGTGCAAGAGTCCTAAATAGAGACCGCGCTCCATCCCATGAGATGCCCTACATCTTCTGACTTCCGGCAGTACAATCTGAAACGCAGAAATGCTGAAATGTCCACATTCCATAGAAAAGCATATTGCGATAATCACATTAGTGGAATGATTTTTTTGTGATAGTCTGTGACCAACCGCAGACTTTGTAGCGTTCCGCCTTCGCAGATCATAGCCCGAAATAGCTGCTGGCGTCACTAAAACCGTTAAACACAAGTCGGCGCTATCTATCCAGCAGCTCGGCACAGTGGGACGACGCATCGGCTCTTCTCTCGCGCCGCCCAATGAGGATTTGGCCAGCCTGCACCTTCGGCTGGGTTGTCAAGGTGCTCATACCCGTGATGCTCTAGACCCCATGTTTTGTCAGAGGCCTTCGTTATCATTTGGTTGTCTAATGCCGGATAACGGTGCAAATGCGCGGTAGCATTGCAAGCCTGCAGTTGTGTCGCAAGGATTTTTTAGCGGTGATATATCGTTCTTATTGGCAGACACATGTCGTTACCATCCGTTACCAGCTGGTGCGTGCAAGGTCCAGTTTGCTGGTAGCCGGCTCACATCCGCCGGCCCATATCCGGACAGTCAGCTTCCTTGGCCAACGGAGCCATTAAGATTGCCATGAACACTTTCGCTATTGTTGCTGCTGAGCACGACAACGGCTACCACTTTTGCTAATACCGCTACTGTACGCCGCTACTAACACTTCCACTGCTATACTGCCAGCATTCCTAGTTTCATTTGCGCGAGTTCCTCGAATCGCACAGGAAGGCGATAGTTACCTGCCAATCGAACACTATGATCCAACCTCCCTCGGCCAAATCAAGAAACATGAGACGAGCAAATGTACAAGTATATCGTGCATGTGCAACAAAGAATATTATGGCTTGTGCAAGCGGGTTTGCGCATGTGCATGTTCATCAACCCTTCTGGCGCCTCCCATTTTGAGAACAAGGGGCTGGCGGATACGTAGCACTTCATTGCACTATATTACCTTCTGTGCAAATCATGTTCAGCTTGAATTGCAAACAGGTTGGAGCGAAAGCGCGGAGCAAAGCCTGTCTCCGTGGAGGACAGGCTCTTGCGAGGTGTAGTGTTGCCTTGTCGCCATCATGGATATCCTCGATATGCTCAGGAGTTTGAGCAGAACCACAAGGCTCGTGTCGGAGTACGACTGATGAATATGACAGCGTGAATCTCAGAGTGTCAGTGAGAATTTTGATCGTAGATTCCCAGTGCGTGAGAAACTGCACGCTTCAGGGGTTAGGTTAAGCGCAACGGACATGGGTAAGCTGAGGATGGAGGCAAGGAGATCCACCGCAGCCCGGCGACATCCCATTGTGCAAGTCGAAACGTGTTTCTCCCTTCTGTCCCTTCGGTGCCCTTCCGCCCCTTCGGTGCCCTTCAGTCCCTTCCGTCCCTTCAGTCCCTGTCCCAGGCTTCGTGAAGGATTCCAGCGAGTCTCTGAAGATCTCCAAAACAGCACCTACTTGGAAGGCAAAGTATTCATCAGAGTCAAAATGGAATCTTGGGGTCTCCGCTAGGCCTATGTGGACTTTGTGAACAATGTGGTGATTGAGGGATTTGTCTCGGCAATCGCTGTGTCCCTCCAGTGCCCACGAAAGTTGCGTATGGCATTTTGTTTCTTTGCGCGTGTCCAGGTACCTTTGCGAGATCTTGGATCCCCTCATCATTGCCAGGCATGAGATGCTGCCACTCTTTGCGCCTGGACTGAAATTGAAGGCTACCGGTTCGGGCTGCACGGGCTACTGGCTGGGGGTCCATGTTCGGTTCGGATGGGGATGGGCGCAGGATGTGAAGATCGAGCTGCAGGGCGACGAGATCGTGTTCGACCCGCCTTTTGAGGCGTGCCAATCAGTTAGTCAGCCAGTCAGCCAGTCAGTCACTCGTGCCATGATATCGCGCAGCGCTCACAGCGCGCTCCGCGCACAGCGCTCAGGACGAAGACAATCCGAGTCGAACAACCTTGCGCAGCACTATCGACAGCTGGCTCAAGGACTTCTTTGCCATGGCCACTGTCATGGCCGCGGGCTTGGCGTGGGTTGAAAGGGAAATGTCAAGTAAAGTTCGGAGACTACAATTTTTTGCATAGCAACAGAGGCCTCCAAGTTTTTGCCAATAGACTGCAAGGCGTTGTCAGGATGGTTGATGGCGATTCATGTACGAAGGACAGATAATTTGTTGCTTTGTTTGGTGCCACACAATTGCTTACGGCTTTTGTTGCTTAACCCATTCCAGGGGCAAGTTCCGGTTTGTGCCAATCAATGCCTTTCAAACCCGGAAGAATTTGCTTAACCGAAAATACAGCACACGACTCCGATACAAAGCTCGCAAACCCGCGAAAGCACGCAAAACTCCCGCAAGTCAAACAAGCACGGATGTTCCGGAGCAGCGGTGGGGTCAAATCTTTGTACCGTTTTCCAGAAGGTGCCGCTTGTAGGAACATGTTTGCAGTGTTGAAGGTGCACTGAAGTATCGTGTAGAGCTGTGACTTTGGCAGAAAGTGCGAGAAAGGCGCTGTGGTGCCAACGACTATTCAAGGCATATGACCTTTCATATTGCTTGTGCTGCGCGCCCTTTGCTAATAAGCGTAATGTCATGTTGAGAACTTGTGAAAAAGCGCCCATAATCATAATTACTGCTTTAGCACTCTTGACACTCTGCCCTCTTACCGAGAAACATGTAAATACGATGGAGAAGGACAATTCAGGAGGATTTGAATATTCAAATTGGTTCAGCTTGCAGTGCAAATACCAAACATATGATGCATTCATCTTGTTGGTCGCCTTGCATTCTGATTCCGCCTTTAAGCACAACCCGTCTTGTGAGTCCTGTTGTACAAACCCACAGCCAGCAGTTTACAACCCGCGTCCTTGGACACAAACGCTTGCCGGCTTGTGCATCACCATCTTCTGGCAAGTGAGTTGAACACGTAGGTGCGGCTGGATTCAAATGTTGGAGACTACCTGAATGAGATTAAGGCCCGGTGATTTGCCACAGTTGTTTCAAGAAGGTCGATATGATTCTCTGCAGGAACATTTCCAGATGCAATGCTTGCTGTCCTTGGTATCAGAGCTGCCACTCGGACTGAGCTGCACGCACAGAGATGCCATGCCTTGCCGTGCCGTGCCGTGCCATGCCATGCCGTGGCTTCAAGGATCGACAACACCGAGTCCAAGTGCTTGGAGTATCGTGAAAACTTCATGAGCCACTCATTCCTGTGGACCGACTCTGCGCCTTCCTCGGACTTTCCGACTTTTGGACTTTCGGACTTAGGCTCTAAAGGCTCCTAAGGCTCGTTGAAAGGCTCCTGAGGCTTCTTCACTTTACACTCCGAAATGTCTGAGGTGGACAAGACCTTTGAGAGGTTCCTGCAGGACAAGCCCAAGGCCAGCCAAAGTCTTGAGCGAGGGAGATGAAATCAATGGAGAGGAGTACCAGAAGACCTCAGGTAGGATCTGTTTCGAGGATCACCCCAGAGCGCCCTGCCCCAATTCTTCTCAGATTTGCACATCGCCCTCGACCAGCACCCTGCATTCGTCACACTCTCCAGCAACGTCCAACAACAGCCGGAACAGCATGGACCAGCATGGACCAGCAGCATGCCACAGTCGCACAGCATGCGATTCGTAGACACGGCCTATCCTATCCCCCAAGTTGCATCGAGGGCAGCAGCATGCTAGCATTTCGCATCACACCCTCTTTGCTCGCACTTAGCATACAGTGCCCATAGCTTTCAGCCATTTGTGGAATACGACGCAGACCGAAAGAAACTCCAAAAGAGATGTGTGATATGTACAATGTTAATATACAACATGCCTTGACAACCCTTGTACAGCTTACAGTACATGTGGCGCTTGCCACATATGATGAAGGCCTTGAGCCTACAGCATTGCGCCAGTACAAAAGGAGTGCTACATTGCCGGTTTGATTCACACACAGCTTTGCACTTCAGGTAAACAGGTCAACAGTAGCTCGAAGTTTAACATGGTACCGGAGCGACAGTGAGCAGCCACCTGGGAAACATCCTGGCGGCCTTTCCCAGCACCCACCACATAATACGGCAGCCCAACAACAAGACCAACAGCAGCAGCTGGAAGGAATCCACAAGTACAAGAAATCACCACCACGATTCCCAGGAGAATCCAACACCGTCGCAGAATGGAAGTACAAGACGCATACCTTGGACTACAAGATCCCGCATACAACAGACTGCTGTGACAGCCAGAGCAATCAGCAGGACAAGTTGCACACGATGAACTTGAGAACGCGACTCCTTCGCAGGCAGTAGCAGAGCAATGGATACAACTAAGCAACAACTCACACTACATCTTAGTGAGCGCATCTGATGGACCAGCATATGCAATATGCAGACAAAACACGCAAGGCAACGTTTTCGAAACATGGCGGCTGACACATGCAAGGTACTCTATACCACTTGCAAGGAGCATTGGGTGCCTTACACGGCTGCTAAAATAGAACTTGATGAACAGAAGTCATGGGAGTCCCAACTCTCTAAGTACGAACAAGACAAAAAGACACTTCTACCAGACGCAGGCAAGATCACAATACTGCTCAATGAGACAAAGCGACCGCTGCAGCAGCACTTACAGTTGCAGGCGGGAAGCATCGCAACTTATGCGCAAATTACATATCTGGTGATAGAGTACTACAGAGCAGCATCATCATTCAACAGGCCACAAGTCATCACCCCAGGCAACAACAACAACCAAGGGCCAGCGCCGATGGACATCGGAGCAGCATGGTGCAACAAAGGCAAAGGAAAAGAAAGGTAGGCGCAAGGGCAAAGGAAAGTGCAACAAAGGCAAAGGCTACGGCAGCTACGGGAACAACCATCACCACAACAACTACAAAGAAAAATGCAGGCAGGACAACAAACCAGTTGGACAAGGAAACCCTTTCAAAGAACAAGAAGGCATCAGCAAAGGAAAAGGATAACTACAGCAGCAAAGGAAAAGGCGCAGGATATTATAACAACCAAGGAGGAGGAAAAGGAGCAAAAGGAAAACGTGCGACAAATGTTTGCTACAGATGTGGACAGCCAGGACACATGGCCAAACAATGCAGAGTGGCGATCTGCAAGTGCAACACTGGCAACTTCGACACCAACGACCAGACAGATGACTGGTACAGCCAGGTACAATATGACAGCAGTAGGTACCGCCAGGATCAACGCAACGCAGCAAAAAGACAAGGGCTGGGGCCTACAGCAGCAGAACAACCAAAAAGCAAGATGAGAACCAATGCCAGCAAACTTACAACAAGAGGTGGCAGACAACTGGATACCACATCCAACGAAGACACACACGAGATTGAAAACGAAAGGGTCGTATTGGAGCCAATCGTACATGCCAGGAAGTCTTGGACCCACAACTGGTTTCACAAGGCATGAAGAAAGAAGTGCAACAAATGAAAGACAGCTCAGTCTTTACAGAGGTTGATGACAACAACATGCAAGACACCAGAACAACAAGCAACACCATTGAACCAAGATGGTTCCCCAACAAAAGCGCACAAAGTACGAGCGCGAGTTGTAGCACAACGCTACACAGAACCCGTTAGACCTACTCCTTGCAAGCACGCCACTGTTTTGCACACCGAGAGTACGTCTCACAATGGGGTTAGTCACAGGAGATGCCAGTGTTGCGTTCCAACATGCATCAGCAATATCCTACAACGTGGAATGGCGACTTCCGCAAGAGTTCTACAACGACGCAGGCAGACACGTCATGTGGCGCCTGAACAAAGCCATCTACGGCTTAAGATCGTCGCCGAAATGGCAAGACCGCATGGCACACATCCTCACAGTCACACTTGAACTTAGTGAGATGCGCAACAGAAAGCAATGTCTACAGCTAGAAAGACTGCTTAGTGTGCATCATGATTTATGTAGACGATCTCCTATTCAGAGTGTCATCAACACACCGTTCAGCAGGATACAGCAAGAAGTACTGCTGAGAGACACGGGCGACCTCAATGAAGGAGCAACAATGCATTTCCTTGGCAGGAACATTTCGCACAAAGACAACTACATCGACATCAGCTACAACACCAATTTCGTTGACATCATCCTGGAAGAATCAGGAACGGCTACATGCAATCCAGCACCATCGCCAGGAGTGTCACACGCGAAAGGTGCAGCTGAAGATGAAGCACCGCTTGGCCCACGAACAGCCCAAACAACACAGGCGGCTTGTTGGCAAGAGACAATGGCTAGCGCTCGCAAGAAAAGACGTCGGCTACGGAGCAAAGGAATCAGCTAGCACCAACGCAGCTTGACAAGAAGAAGCTCAAACACATGATGAGACACCTTAAAGGCACAAGCCACATTCGACACAGATACAGGCACAGGACAGGCGAACCGCCGCCCAGCGTCGACGCATGCTCAGATGTCAGCTGGGCGTCGCGCAAGACAACAAGAAAAAGCGCAACAGGATGTGTGACACACTTCTTGGCAGCGATGCGCTACCAGCAACAATAGCACTTTCATCAGCAGAGTTAGAACTGCACAGCAGCGCTGGACAGCCTCAATATCAGAAACTTCATCAAGGAAGCGTTTGAGGTTCGCACCAACAGCAGGAAACACAGACAGCAGCGCACCTAAGTCAATTGCAACAGGAGCAGGCGCATCAAAGAGAGCAAAGCGCATTGAGCTGCTTCACATCGCAACTTGCCAAGAGCAAAATTATCACAACGCGCAAGGTCAAATCAGAAGACAACCCAGCAGACATACTAACAAAGAAGGCCAGATGCGGCGCACACAAAAACACATGTACACAGTTGTCCTGTGAGGCCGCTACAGCTCGTTTCACACAGTGCGCGCGGCATGTAAGACCACAGTTGCGCAGCACACACTACGTCATCAGCGGCGATAGTAGTTTAGGGTAAGCGCATAGCCACGGGTCGGCCCCTCGTGTTTGCAACCCTTTTACCAAACTTTACATCTGGGGTCTTTTTTGAATGACATTTTGTACATTGGACAATGTTTGATTTACATCTGCAGCCGTTTCAGCATTGCGTTTTGGTTTGAGTGTTCATCCGTGGTACAGCGCAATGTCGATCACCAACAGACGGGGCCTAGAAGACGCTCCACAACGCCATGGACATTCCTCGCGGGGTCCGCGTCGAGCAGGTTACCTGCGCTGAGCACAGAGATACGTCGGGTGCTACTTCCCCCTTGCGCAGAAGCACACGCATCTGCTTACAAGCAATGGTGCAACCCGCGTTGGTTCATTGCCTGGATGGTTGAGGCCCCCATGCAATTTGTTGTTTGCTGCTTTGTTGACAAGCATTACAGACTGCGTTGCTTACATGGCATGGTTGTTCAGGGCAATGATACACCCATCAACAAGAACGACAAGCACACCCTCTACATGCGCTTGGCCTTCTTTGAGGTGAAGCGCCAGACGCGCAGGAACTTCCTTACAGCGTTCAACAGAGGATTCGCTTCACATGCGCTACAGATCGACCACAGCTTTACACGCACCATGAATTCGTATGAAGAGGAGGTCGGTCTACAGCGAGTACCTGAGCTTGAGTTACAACAGGTTTTGACAGCTCCAGCATTGCTGGAAGTACGTGAACCGCTTCGCAGCAACATCAGGGATTACATGATCGCAGCCGCATCACAGTTGGTGACACCAAGGACAAGGAGACACCTCAGCCTAGCGCAGCCAATTATGCGGCCTATGCGCAGGAGCGCCGCAACACGGACCTGATCTTGCAACAGCAGTCTGGTTACATGATGCTACGCAACTTGGGTCAGCCTTAGAGGCGCGCCGCGTTTCACGGCACAAGTGAGCCGACCACATCCGACCGCGAGGGACACAGTTGTACAGTGCATCTGCAGATCTGGCGGTCACTTTACACGCAGTTTGTTTTCCGTCGTCCCGAGCAACAAGGCTTTTCTGCACATTGCAAAGTGTGCTGGTCACAGTAGAATCTGAGGAGGCTTGTTAATATCAACATGCCTTGGCAGCCTTTGTGCAGCTTGCAGCGCATGTGGCACTTGCATGCACTTGCTACATATGATCAAGGCCTTGACCCCGCAGCATTGCGCCAGCACAAAAGGAGTGCAAGATTGCCGGTTTCATTCACACACGCAGAGGCTTGCGCTTCTGGTAAACATGTCAACAGTAGCTCCAAGCGGAACGTACGCTCCATGCAACACATGTACACGATAAGGATGACGTGTAATTAAACCTAAAAGCGCGAAAATCGAGGAGCTGGTGGACTTCAGCGAGGGAGGCATGCGGTTCCGAGACATCATGACCCGCATCAAGGCAGGACGCCGTCCCGTCAAGCTTTCGAGCCATGCGGTGATTCGCATCGAGTTCTTTTGCGGTAGGTGGACCTGGGCCCTCCCATCCCCTCGCTGGAGAGGTTTGATAAGGAGGTGGCCCGCTTCGAACACCTCAAGCAGGACGCGACACATGGCGACGAATGCCTCGATCGGGCCGCGGTTGTATAGGAGTTGTCACTGAAAAAGACACCCACGGACATCCACTGGTTGCGCATTGACGCCCAGCCGGTGAAGGCTCGCAGATTTCTTGGGCCTTTGCATTGCACTGTTTGCCACGGTCTGCCACAGTTTGCCGCAGTTTGTACCGTTTGCGCTTGGCCTCTTGGCATGCCGTCGTCGTCAAGAGGCTTCAAGGGGTCTCGAGGGGAATCAGAGCCTCAGCCAGGTGACCTTGGTGAACTGCGCGCGCAAGTGGGAAGAGAAGTTTACAGGCTTCCTGAGGAAGTTCGTCGAGGAACCGGGACTCGAGAACGTGACTGTTTCGTTTTCCGAATACTGTAACTTGTTGATACTTGTTGAATTGAAGTCGCGCTCTTCGATTGCGTAGGATCGCATCACCTCCCTCAGCGCCTTCATCACCTCCGTGAGGACTGGCCTCGGCCCACCTTCAGCGGCAGAGAACCCCGAGGCCCGGTTCGATCCGTTTCGCGCCGCTTCGCGACCGAGCGCTTGGTGACGTGATGTTTTTTTGTTTTTCCTCTGTTCTTTTGATTACTTTTGAGTATTTTGGCTCTTTTGATTCTTTTGTTTTTGTCGTTTTACAGATCGGCACTGAAATCTCTCCCGGTCTGGCAGGATGAGCGCCTGCTGTACCAGACGTCGGCGGCTCGTGCGAGAGCGCTCGCGAGTTTCTACTTGGGCTATACGTGGGCTCCCTTGCTGACGGTGTCGACTCGAGGATGACCAAGATCCGGGATGTGAAGTTGGCTCGAGGAGCCATGCAAAGGCGTGTGCGGAAGTAGGATTATGTAGGATTGTTTTGAAGCTCTGGGCGACACTGGGTGTTCAGTTTTGAAGTGCACATCGCTGCGAGGCTGTTCCAACCTCTCCGAGAACAGGTGGGAAGGGGCGGCGAGTGGGGTTGGCAGAGCTCCTACGGTTGATGTATCTTACCTCGTTTGGATCTGGAGGACCCTACCAATCAAGCCACACATCCAACTCACAGGAAATTTTCGTATGATCCGGAATCCGAAGTGAAGGCTTTATTTGGCAATGCAGTGTCGGGCCAACTCGTGCGAGGTGCAGATGCTGAAGAAGCATCACTGCAGCATCTCCGAGGAAAAATCGCGACCGCTTCAGCTTGTCCATTCCATCCCTTTCTCCCTTTCGCTTTCTCTCCCCTCTCCCTGCGTTTTTTTTCTCCCTTTCTTCCCTTTCTGTGCTGTCGCTCTTCCTTGTCCTTTTTTCTCCCTGCTTCTCCCTTTTCTCTTTTGAACCAACGTTTGTCTGGTTGGTTGGTTGGTTGGTTGGTTGGCTGGCTGGCTGGCTGGCTGGCTGGCTGCTTGGTTGGTGTTGTTTCTGCATGGTGCACCCCTCAAGCTTGGCAGGGACAAGACGAAGCGTTCTCCCTTTGCTGCATTTGCTCCTTTCTCATCTCCTTTCTCTCCCCTGCCGTGTTGTCGCTGTTCGCGCGTTGAAGGAGTCCTGGAACAACTTGGAGCACGCGCCGGCGCACTGGGCAGAGGCACCGAGTCACGGGGGCCCCGGGCCCCGTCCTGACACCTTTGGGTCCTTTTGAGAAAGACTAAACATCTCGTGCAGCTGGTGCTTTAGTTGTCAACTCTTGGATGTTGTTTCCTTGACTCTTCTTTGCTTTGCTTGTGCGAAGGGGGCCAACGGGGCCAACAGTGTCGGAGCTGCCTGAGATGCTGTTGCAGGTGGATCGAGCTGCCTTCAATGAGAAGGAGAAGATTCTTCCCCTCCAAAATCAGGCGGGAGAGCCTTGCTCTTTTTCTCCTCTTTTAACTCTTGTCATCTTTCTTTCTTTCTTTCTTTCCTTCTCCCTCTCTCTTTCTAAAATGGCTCTTTCTCTATTGCCGTCAGGAGATGGTGAAGATCCGGGGGAAGATCGAGGGCTTCCGGGAGGACGTGCGCAGCTTCCGCGCGGAGTTCCTGGAGCGCTGCCCCTTCGGGAGCCCCTCGGCTTGAAACCGAAAGCATGGGAGACTAAAGCCAAATGGAAGGAGAGATGGACGAACATGTAAGACCAAGAGATTTGGACAAAGTGGAGGACATGTTTGGGAGAAACGAAGAAAAGAGAAAGAAAGAGAGAAAGGGAAAGGAAGAGAAATGGACAAGAGAAAGGACAAGAGCAAAAAGAAAAGACAAGGAAGATATAGGAAAACGGATAGAACAAGAAAAAGATGAAAAGGGCAAGACAAAGGTGAGAAACGATTGTCTGGTTCCGGTAATTTGGTGAGGTAGCCAACGCTTCGTGCTCCTACGGGCAGGCTGAACCTGTGCAAAAATCGCAATGTTTCACAGCTGTTGGCATTGTAGTTGGCTTTGTGGTGCTACTGCAGCTACTGGTCCTTGACAGGTGCTCATGAGGATGTAGTTGTGGTCTCTCGCGAAATCCACAGCTTTATGCTGCTTGTCTAGGGCCACGTATGTGCTCTGAGCTCGATGTCTGCATCCTCAATCTGTCGTGTGGCCGCTCGTGCTCCACTCGTGCTAGCTGCGGTACTGGCCGGAGTCCTGGAGTCTTTGTCGATCAGTCTAAGATAGGCTTGCAGTAACGGTGAGTATAGTATAGTCACTCTGAAAGAACGGTGGTTTGTATCTCTGTCGTCTGTGGACGTTGTCTTCTTGTGTAGCTCCCGTTGCTGTCGTTGCTATTGTCTTCGCTGCAGGTCCGTTGGCGGCTCCTCTGGTGGGCTATTCTGGATCTGACATGAAGTTTGGCATGGTGCCTTGTACTTGCTGTCGTATACTGGCGAGCTATGTGTGCCTTTTCCCTTTATGGCAACGCTGCAGTAACAGGCTCAAGGCCTTAACAGCAAAAATGGCGGCGGAGTCACGTAGTGACTATAAGACTGTACATGTCGTGACTCAACGCTCATGTAGCTTGACATCTCTCTGTTTGTCTCTTGCTCTCTCAGCCGACGAAAGTGAATAAATGCAAGAAACGCCGAGCTTGTTGAGGCTGACCCGCCGAAAGTCCGCAGAGGGTTCTGTGAACGAATCGAAAGGCGTAGCAAAATAACACGAGGTTTTGAAGGTTGATCCACCGAAAGTCCGCATTCACACTTTGATGGTCGCGCAGGCTGAACACAAAGCACGACTTTTTGAGGTTGACTCATTCAACGTCCACCGAGGGTTAGGCGAACTAAGTGAACAGTATTCCAAAACCGCGAGTATTTTTCGGCCGACCCGCCCAAAGTCTCCGAGACCGCCGTCGCTGCAGAGGTGGTTTGCGCATTCCTCACGCAGTACCGTCCGTCAGGGAACGGTGAAGGCACTCCGCCACCTTCACAGCGTCGTGGCCTAAAATGTTCCCTTTGTCCCTTTGTGACGTGGCCGATGGGGAGTGTACATGAGTGATGGCAATTTCGAGAGGGTAGGTTTCAGGCCAAAGAAGCAAAACCCCGCAGAAATCGGTTCTGTTCTTCGTGATTTGTATCCCGGCGCCACACCATGTTGTCACACGCATTCGCTCTTTCTTTGTCTCATTTTTGCGCAGAGCTACCTTCACTTGGTGTTGGCAACACGGATGCTGCAACAAAGATACAAGGAAGGGAAAGACACGAAAGAAGCCAAAACGACAAGAATGAGACAATGTGGAAGGAGGTGGTAAGCGCATGGCAATGCTGAGCGAAACCAAGGTGAATACGCCGTATCTGCGAAATACGACAAGAGCGCCTCGGTCTATTCCACATTCTTAGGGTACTCCTTGTGCTGTGACACATGGGCGAGTGAAGCGGTGAAGGCTATGCCATTATCAACAAATACCACAGAAAGACTATGGAAATTCGGGCTCGAGCTGAACAATTCAATGTCCGGAGCTTAGCGTTCCTTGAGTGTTTCTTTTTTCACTGGCAACAGTAGCATGTTCTTGGACGCAGCGGCAACTGACTATGGATTTGCTATGGATTTGAAGGATCTCGAGCTGCTGTTTGATATGGCCATGAGCGACTACCGCCCCCTGCCTTGCTCTTAGACATATGAGTCATATGAGTCATATGAGTGTGTCTCAGTGCCAGTGCACTTTGCAGGAATGACTGCTTGAGCAACCTGGTGCTGCTCAAGAACCTTTGGGTGCGGAAGCCCATGCTCCGAAATGCCTCCAAATGCCTAATGCGAAGAGAATCAGGGGACCAAGGGGACCAAGGGGAACAAGGGGAACAAGGGGAACAAGGGGAACAAGGGGAACAAGGGGAACAAGGGGAACAAGGGAAGCGAAGCCGGTCTTGCGCGAGGACTTGATTGTCATGGTGCGGGAGACCTTCTCAGCCTGGCCGCTGCCCAAGTCGTCCTGAGTGAGGAAACCAGGAAACCCGCAGCGGGGATGCGACGGGATGTGTGTAACCGAAAGGACGAACGAAGGGAGGAAGAGAAGGAAGAAGTGGGTGAGGGACATCTCTTTACCACTCACCCCTCTTCCTCATCCCACCTCTCTCTTCGTTCGGGAGTGTCTTGGAGTGAGGAATGAAACCGTCTGGATTCTAGATTCTTGAGTTTTAATTGTTGACCATAAGATCTTAAGATGAGACAGGAAGGTAATGGCTGACGAGTGGAGGAGGAAGGCATGGATTTCTCTTTGTCCATCCGCTGGCCAGTTCTTTCCAGCGGTTACAAATGAGACCGTCTACCTCCTCACCCTTTCACCCAGCCACCATTCTATGCTGTAGGTGAAACACCAGGAAAGATATTTGGCTGTGTGGTTGGGTCTCAGAGATGAACCGCTAGTACAGAAAGGTTCATTCACTCCCACATCCATCTACAAATACTTTAGGATGTGGGACCAGACAATAAGATCTAGAATTATACAATGCTTGACAAATAATTCTTGGTTACATGCTGTCTATAGAAGATCCCAAATTCAACAGCAAAGAGAAAGAGAATTAGAATGAAGAATCCAGATGACACGAAGGAATGGATTCTGAAGCTATTTCTCTTTCATATTGTATCTCCTTTTGTTATGAACTGCTTTTCATTTTATATTAATATTTGGATTATTTGGAAAAGCATTAAACATATGATTATAAATAAATATTAATGCTTTTCATATCCTTTCCAAATCCCATGAACAAGATGGGATTTGAGGATATCTTTTCCCTTCGTCACTTCACTGTCAGGCAGGTTACATTTGGATGAGTCTTAATTGCTTGGCGGGTGAGGAATGGGTGAGAAGAGATCCCATTCCCTATCATCTTTCTCTTTCTCTTTTATCATCTCCTTTCTCTTAACTAATCTCAACAAATGAAAAGGAGATGATAAGAAAGAGATGGCATTTATCTTCAATAACTTATATTAATTGGCTGCAAACGAAGGGACCAGAAGGAAAAGGAAAGGTTAACCACTATGACGAAGAGATGAGGAATGAGGATTAACCGTCTGCTGGACAGGTCTTTGGTCGTTTTTTTCCTCTTTTTTCTTCCGGTCGAGGTACAATGTGCTGTGGGACAAGATCGACACGGGGCAAATGATGGCGACAGTAAGGGAGCTCAGCCACCAGGCGTTGGGCCGGGCAGCCGGGCAGCCGGGTGGCTGTTACTCGGGCCGCAGGTGAAGAGTGCCTCCAAGGGCATGCGAGCTTGGCCCCTCTACTCCTGGCTGCAGGACGAGGTTGGACAACTTTGAGGCTTGAATTTTATATATATATATATATATCATAAACGGAATAAACAAAATTGCTTAAATTGCAAGCAAAACGCCAAACAATGCCCAAAATTGCAAAATGCTAGGTGAAGAATATGTCCGCCGCCCTGCCACTGGTGAATGCGGCTGCCTCGGATTCGGATGCTTCGTTTGCTCGAGACGCGGAGCCATGAGCCCAGGAGCTGCACTCGGACACGATGCGGGACCGGCATTGGGCCATGCTCATGGCCGTCACCAAGAAGACCTTCGAGAAGGCGAAAGGGATCGGAATATGACGGAATGTGACGGAATATGAGACAGGATATGAGACATATGAGTAGAGATGAGCAGAGATACGAGATAATAGATGAGTATAGATGAGAGAAGAGAGTAGTGTAGGAGTTGGAGAGTTGGATAGATGCAAGATGTTAAGAGAGGGAACCCGACCCGGGTCTAGAAAGCATTTGCACTGCCGCAGAACAACAACTTCAACATGTTCATTGTTTCATTGCATTTTTCGACTTCGCCAGAAGTGGGCAGATCTGTTGAAGAGGGTGAGCTACGAGATATGTCCTATATATGTCTGAACGGCACATCCCTATTGAGGGTGATTTCTGCGTTTTTAGTTCTTGCTTTAGGAGAAGCAAACATGTGTTCGTTCGGCTCGCCGGCTTCACCATCGGCATCCTAGCACCCCGAGCATCACCCGCATCGCCAACACTAGCTCAAGCATGCTTGAGGGCAGCTGTGCAGCTGCCAGCAAACTTGTTTGCGTGCCCTTCGTAGTTGTTCCAGGGCTGCACAAACCAACCAACCTACAAACTCAGCCAAAGCCAACCCTGACCCAACACACTCTACACCTTCGCCCTAAACTAACCACACCAACCTTTCAAACGTTCGCCTACGCAACTGCCCACGCTTAGGGGTTCACACGAGCCGAGAAATGCCTGAGCCACCGCCGGGTGAAAGATGGTGAAAGATTTGAAACGCCATGGAGATGCTAAGCGCTTTGGCGAGGGGGTCCCACTCCTTGGCGTGGCGCAGGCATGAGGGGCCGCACAGCCAACAAACAATTCAAGCACTTCAAACCTGAGCCGACCCCAAACCAATCCAAGACCCACCTTACGCCAATCCCACCCAAACTCCACGCTGGCCCGAGCCGAAGCCCGGCGATGCTGGGAGTGTTGTTGTCAGTGTTGCTGCATGCCGGCAGAACTTAATTGCTAGCCTGGAGGGTTCGACGGGAGCCTTCCGATCGGAACGGGATCGGAAGATCGTCTCGAGGGACCGGAGTTCAGCTTCCGGCACCTGCTGGAGCTGGAGCTGCACCACTTCTCGCCGCGTCCACAGTCGGGCCGTAGGCGAATCAATGCGCATTACGCATCACGCATCACGCATCACGCATTGCAAAAAGTAGTATCTCATAGTCATGACTCATATTTCATGCCGTGCAAGGGATGTGGTCTACGAGATCGTGGATCAGAGCGTGAAGGAGGCCAAGATCGCCGGATTCCTGGACGTTTGCCGGCTCAGCAACATGTTGCGCGCTCTGGATGCCGACCAAGGAAGCGAAGCTGGAAGGAATCCGAAAGACCTGGTCCAAGATGACCGTCGAGTTTGACAACAATCGAGAGGAGAGCTCCAAGCCGAGACTTTGAATTCCCAAGCGTGCAGTGTGCAGCGACAATAACAGGATTGCCCGCTCTTAGCGGATCTTTCTGAGGCAAGGAGAGACTGGAGATAGGGATAGAACGGGAGTGAGAACGGGGGTGCGACTCGGTGCAAGTCGATGCGACTCGGGTGAGGTGCTGGAGCGCTTGGAGTCGGACTCCCTGGAGATGCTGTCCATGACCTCTCAGGCTCGGAAAAAATGAAACTGACATCGGAGTTGCCGATCTGCCTCACTCAGTGGGCCATGGTGGGCCATGGTGGGCCATGGTCGGCCATGGTGGGCCATGGGCCAGGGCCGCTTCATCGAGTTCTGCAAGCAGACAGTGGACGAGTGGAGTGAGAAGCTGCAGACCGTCGACTCTGTGCTACAGGAGCGCGTTCTAGAGCAAAGAGCTTAGGCTATGACTGCAGTGCCTTGCGTAGGTTTGGGGAAAGTTTCAAATCAATTGGTGCCGCTTGGAGACGCTTTGCTGCAGTGGACGTCCGTGGATGTGGAATGTGGACCCCGATGTTTTGTGTTCATTTATCCCTTTCCCCCGACAACGAAGGCTCCCCTGAATATTTGCTGGAAATTCCAAAGTTCCCAATACTCAATTTAGAAAACGCCAAACTGGCCCCTCCGACCGCAACATGAGCCGCATTATGGGACTATGAATAATTAAATGTTTTGCGGGGAACCGGATGTGCCTTGTGTGTGTCCGTGTTCACTGCAGCTTTTGCAGTGCTGTGACAGTTTTGCTTCAGCTTGGGGGCGCGGTACAGGCCCATCTTCATGCAAAGTGACGACATCCGCTCCCAGCTTCCAGAGGATTCCAAGAGGTTCGAGATGCTAGACAACAGCTGGAAGGAGTCAAAGAGAGACTCAGAGAGACTCTTTTGAGACTCTGTGGGAACTCGGAGATTCGAGGATCTCATGATCGAGGCCTCGCGGTCTTCGCTGATCGTGGAGATCTGTATGGCCGAGGGCAGAGCCCAGACCCTGCGGCAGCCTAAGCAACGTCCTACGGAGTCCTACGTTTCTTTCATCTTCTTTCACGTCTTTCATCTTTCACGGCCCTATCGTTTTTGGGCCTTTCACGCTTAGGGCTGACATTACTGATGCCTTGGACACCTGCGAGCGCTCTTTGCGCAACTCTCAGATCGAGACGCGAAACTGCGAAACGACAATGTTTCTCTTCGAGTCGACTAACCGTTACGAAGCTTCAGGAACGACTACCTGGAGCAGAAGAAGAAGTCATTTCCTCGATTTTACTTTGTGGCCAACGGCGCCCTGCTGGATATCCTTTCAAACGGCAACAAGCCGCTGAAGGTGCGGTTGCATCAGTTGCAGTTCCGACTCATATTCTCGGCATGGCCATGGCATGGATCTTGAATCAATTGAAGGCATGAACATTGGGCACGGATTTGGATTGGCATTGGGTCAATTCCCTGTGCACTCCCTCAGGTGGCCGAGTACCTGGGAGATGTCTTCGACGGAATACGCCTGAGCCTTGGAGCTGTGCGAGCGATGGCAAAGGCCTTGTCGCGATGGGACGGGCTAGGTGTGACTTGTTCGACTCGACTTGTGCGACATTTGTGCGACTTGTGCCACTTGTGCCGTTTAACATGCCTTGCAGGCACGCTGGACTTCTCCAAGGATCCTCAATATGGGCGAATGGCCTGTGGCCACCGTGCAAAGGATGGCGAGGTGCTCCAAATGTACATGCGTATGCACAGCGACGTTTGACATGTGCCACATGCGCAATGTGCCTTGCCTTGCTTGCCCTCGAGTTCGTGGCATGGCCGGCGGATCCTGGGATCTTCGTCCTTGAGGCCATTTGCCGCGACTGGCATTGTGGCACTGACTCGTCACTCTGACTTTGAGATGGCAAGGGGCCAGTGGAGCAGTACCTGGCTGGCCTGGAGTCCCACGTCCGCCTGGCTTTGAGGGAGATCCTCGAGCAGGCGTGCGATGGCGTGCGATGGCGTGTGCGTCGATGCGTGTTGATGATTCAAATGTGAATCATATGCGGGCATATTATGAGGCCCGCACCTCTGCTGAGAGCTGGGAGCTTGGAGACAGGCGAGAACTTAAATCTTGCTGCGCGAAAGTCGGGAGAGTGCAGGCCACGGGAGACGTGGCTGGACGACTACTGCGCCCAGCTCAGCTTGCTGGCAACACAGGTCATCTGGACAGAGGCTCGGAATGCTGAGCGGCGCTCGCTCGAGTGCGCGTCCTGCGCCAGGAGACGACCAGGGCCTTTGAGGACATGGAGGAGGGGGCGAGGGGGCAAGGGGCGAGAATCTGAGATGAAGGGAACGCTCACATGTGCGAGGCTGGAAGTGAGACGGCCATGAAGGACTACAAGAGGGCCAGCACCTGAATCGCGCGGATCCTTGCGCGCGGAACGCGAATTACTTGGAGTATTTGCTCGACTGCTTCTTGGAGTATTTTCAGGTGAATGATGACCGCATAGAGAAGCTTATCCGGCGCGTCCAGCGGGAGTCAGACAAGGAATTACGGACCAAGGCCTTCGGGTCCAACGGTTTCGCGTCACACTTTGGAGGGATCGCAGGTACAAACTAAGGCAGGGTTGGATCCCTTTGAAGAATTAACCCCCAGGAGACGCCAATTTGCTGTGTATGTGTAAACAGACAAGCTCGATTATTGATCTGCCGCCTGTTGGAACTTGCAATGGTTGGTTTGTTCAGTGGTTTGTTCGGGAACTGGCAGTGGGTTTGTCCAGTGGTTTGTCCGGGCACTGTTGGCCTGTCCAGTGGTTTGTTCGGGAACTGGCAGTAGGTTTGTTCAGTGATTTGTTCGGGCACTGGCAGTACGTGGGTTTCTCCAGGGGTTTGTTCGGGCACTGGCAGTACGTAGGTCTGTCCAATGGTTTGCTCGGGAAATGGGAGTGGGTTTGTCCAGCGGTTTGTTCGGGCACTGGCAGTACGTGGGTCAGTTGTTTGTTCGGGAACTGGCAGTGGGGTTGTCCAGTGGTTTGTTCGGGAACTGGCAGTAGGTTTGTTCAGTGATTTGTTCGGGCACTGGCAGTACGTGGGTTTCTCCAGGGGTTTGTTCGGGCACTGGCAGTACGTGGGTCAGTTGTTTGTTCGGGAACTGGCAGTGGGGTTGTCCAGTGGTTTGTTCGGGAACTGGCCGTGGGTTTGTCCAGTGGTTTGTTCGAGCACTGGCAGTACGTGGGTCAGTTGTTTGTTCGGGAACTGGTAGTGGGTTTGTCCAGTGGTTTGTTCGGGCACTGGCAGCACGTGGGTCTGTCCAGTGGTTTGTTCGGGAACTGGCAGTGGATTTGTCCATTGGTTTGTTCGAGCACTGGCAGTTACTTGGGTCAGTGGTTTGTTGGGAAGCTGGCAGCGGGTTTGTTCAGTGGTTTGTTCGGGAACTGGCAGTGGTTTCGTCCAGTGGTTTGTTCGGGCACTGGCAATGGGTTTTTCCAGTGGTTTGTTCGGGCACTGGCAGTACGTTGGCCTGTCCAGTGGTTTGTTCGGGAATTGGCAGTAGGTTGTTCAGCGATTTGTTCGGGTACTAGCAGTACGTGGGTTTGTCCAGGGGTTTGTTCGGGCACTGGCAGTACGTTGGTTCGTTCAATAGTTTGTTCCGGAACTGGCAGTAGGTTTGTTCAGTGATTTGTTCCGGAACTGCCACTCAGTGGGTTTGTCCAGTGGTTCGTTCGGGCACTGGCAGTACGTGGGTCTGTCCACGGGTGCCTTTGGATGATGTTAACCCCAGGAGATGCCAATTGGCTGTGTATTGTAAACAGACAATAAGCTCACATATCGGTCTGCCAATTGTTGGAACAGCCTTTCCTTCTGTGACAGGTCATCACGATCATCACGATCGATGTGCATTCCCGCGATGTCATCGAATCCTTTGTGTTGCAGAAAGTCAACGAAGCAAACGACTTTAGGCTGTGGACTGCGAGATGCGAGAGACTGCGAGCATTGGGTTGCGGAACGCTCCCGGAACCTTGCGGAACGCTCCCGGAACATTCCGTTGAACGCCTGACGTGAGAGGTGGGGCTCACAGCTGCGCTTCTACTGGACCATGTACCCACCAGGATGGGGCCCCGTGACTCGGGATCGCGCGCGAGCGAGCCGTGAGAGACGAACAGAAACGAAAAGTCTTAAAGACGTTGAAATTTGACATCCGTTCGCTAAAAACTGACAAATTGCAAGTGGCCACAGTGCACGCCCCCGCGTTGTGTCAGGCAGCAACTTGGTGTCCTTCACTCCAGCGCATCAGAAGACTTGCGTCATCAAAATCTGCGATTGGGCCACTTGCTATGCCTACGAGCCTTAAGCTGCAATGTTGCACACAGCATGGGAGCCTGTGCTACTTTCAAAAGCTCTGTTTTGGAGCTTCTTTGCCAAGGAGTACGTGGGCAATGTGGGGAGGCTGGTCATTACCCCTCTCACAGACCGATGTCTCTCGGATGCATTCGCATTGCCTCGTGGAAGCGTGCAGCTATGAAATGCTATCAGTTCAAATGCTGTAGGCTACATCACGCTGACGCAGGCGAGCTGAGTTCAGCCCTCGGAGTGCGAGCGCGCAGCGTGCCAAGGCTTTGAACCTTTGTCTAGGAGGCGCTCCGAGCAAGTTAGATCAAGTCACAGTTAGTCCCGAGGAAGGCGTGTTGCAAGTGTCGCAAGTGTTGCAAACCGTGTTGCGTGTCAAGTGTTGCAAAGCGTGTTGCAAGTGTCAGGCGCACCGGCGGGCCCCGCGGGGACGGGCAAGACTGAGACCACCAAAGACCTCTCCAGGGCCTTGGGCTTGCCGATCGTGGTGCTTGGGGCCCTGGATTCGAAAGAGTCCGTTTCGAAGGATTTCAACATACTCTCCGAACTGTCCAAACTGTCCGAGTTCCTTTCTATCCTATTCTTTCCGGATGTGTTTTTTTGCCTATTGTCTTTTGTTCCCTGGTTGGTTGGATTGGTTGGCCGCATCCCCATCACCAGCCTCACTTGGACCCAGGGCCTGTTGGCGCTGATTCGGGCAGTTGGGACTTGCTTGGCTGGGCGGGGCTTTGGGTTGACGTTGGGTCCTGCCGTCAGAGCCAACAGGCCCTAGGTCCAAGCGAGGCTGGTGATGGGGATGCGAAACACAATGGAAAAAAGCAGCGTAGGCAAAAAAAAACGTTTGCCGTGCTTTCTTGAGGTTCAACTGCTCTGACCAGATGACCTACCAGACCACGGCCCAAATCTTCATGGGCCTTGCACAGGTGGGCAATGGAGGGCCATGGCAGAGCCAATCGGATTCGAGTGACAGGGTTTGCTGTAGTTTGCTTGCAGTTGCCCTTATCCAATTTGTGCTTTTTGCCAAGTGTTTTTTTTCTTTCTTCCGATCGAGGTCGTCCTGCTAGTGTTCAGGTGGGCGCCTGGGGCTGCTTCGATGAATTCAATCGCATCTCCATCGAGGCGATGGACACAGCTATCCGGATTTCAAGATCACGCGATTGTTGAATCCGATAAATTTCGACAATGCAAGTTTGATTTAAGAAATGCTTGGTTTCACTATGTTTCACAGCTGCGCTTGCAGGTGTTGTCTGTGGTGTCGACGCAATACAAGTCCGTCCTGGACGCCATCCGTGCCAACAGCAAGACCTTCCTCTTTGTAGATGAGGACGCGGAATGGAATTTTGAAAAGACGGGTCGAGGGGCCGAAAGGGAGTTGAGGGGCGCCGAGAGGGATCAGTCAAGAACCGAATGGATTGAGTCGAGGAGTTGCGTCTTGTGAAGACCTGCGGCGCCTTCATCACCATGCCTCTTGCGTCGCATTGAGCGCATTGAGCGCATTGAGTACGAGTTCCAGGGGGGTCGATGCAATGGCTTGAGTCGACGTTGAAATCATTTGCAAATTGATTCGAACGCACTCAAGCGGCTCACGAGCGGAGTGTTTGCAGTGACTGCATTCGAATGTATTCAGGAACCCGGGCTACGCTGGCAGAACTGAGCTGCCAGAGAATCTGAAGGCTGCGCACACGCTCGTTGCTTTGGTCACACCGAGTTTATGGGGGTGTGGGATTTCGCATTGGTTCAGGGCGTGCGCATGCCGAAGCTGAAGCATGCGGAAGCAAGCCCGCGGCACTGATCATCTTAAATCTTGCAAGCAAACCATGGCCAACCATTTGGCGCAGGCAATTGCTTTGTGGTGTCTGTTTTGCAAAACGAAACATGTATTTTGGCGCTGCATTTCAGCTGTGAAGAACCAAAAGTGATTTGGAGGAACGCACGCTCGCCCAACCTGGAACTCCGTGCCAGAAACGACAGGCTTTCAGGCAATCGCGCCGGAACCCGCAAGCAAAGCTAAGCAAACTTTACCCCAAAGCCCGTCAGAGATCGCACATTTGTGCGCGGAAGCCGCGGTAAGCAAAAACCCGTGCCGCGGAAGCTAGCGGAAGATGGGTGGACACCAGTCCCATATTATTAAGACCTTTTGTCCTTTAAGTTTTGGTCACCGCTCACCTGAGCTCTGCCACACCTCACACCTTCACTTCAGCCAGGCGCTCTTCCGATCTGTTGCCATGATCGTCCCGAATCTGAAATTCATTTGTGCCTTGACTCAACTGAGCCAGCTTGGAAGCATGGAAGGCGCTTGCTTGATGCTGTCCGCGCGGATCCAAGGCGAAAACATGCTCATGTCCGAGGGCTTTATCATTGCCAGGCTGCTGGCACACAAATTTGCATCTACCTGAGAACGCAATACATGCGGGGCGTGCAGTGTGTTTGTGTTAATTGAAATATTGGTCTGAGGTGACCCTGTACTCATTGTCCAAGGAGTTGCCGAAGATGTCTACGGGCTTGTTTCGCGCGCGCGCATTTGCAATCCTGACGCTTCGACGTTTTTGGGTTTGCCGCGTTTCGGACTTTTCGGATTTCGAGGTTTCGATTTCGATTCGCTTTCGTAGGAGTTGCTGTCGAAGCAGATGCACTACGACTGGGGTCTGAGAGCTGTGAAGTCGTTGCTGCGGCAGGCGCTTCCGTTCCCGGTTCCGGGCGTTTCGTTTCGAAGATTCTCGTATTTGTTTCTTTTTCCGCACTCTCATTTTATCTCATGCCTCGTTCCTTCCCACCTTTCAGGCGGGATCCTTGAAGGGCCAGGAGCCGGAAACGGACGAGAACATCGTGCTCTGCCGCGCGCTCCGGGATTTCAACTTGCCCAAGATTACCACCCAGGCCCCAGCGCACTGCAAAAACTGAACTCTGCACAGTGCACTGCCAAGTGCCGAGACGTGCAGACATGCCATCCAATGTGCGTCGACCCGCAGAGGACATGCCCATCTTCCAGCGGCTTATCAGCGACCTCTTCCCCGGCATCTCCCCGGAGCCCTTCCTAGATCTCGATTTCCGTAGAATCTGCGAGGACACCATCAAGGCGCGATTCGCGAGTCGAGGTGCACGCGACGCTTTCGACGCACGCGCGCTGTGGCAGGGAAGAGGTCTGCAGCCAGATCCAGGACAGTGCATTTGCATTCGGATTGAGAAGAACATGGCGTATGCGGCATGTGTTAGGCTTTGTGGACAAAGTCGTAGACTTTTTGGACATCCTTAAGGCGCGTGACACGGCTGAGGCAACATCGCGAGCTTGCGTCCAACTTGAGCGCTCAGTTTTCACAGGTGAGGCATTGCTGCTTCATCATAGGCCCCACGGGTGCGGGGAAGACCGAGATTTGGCGCTCCCTGGAGATGGCCCTCATTGCCACCGGCGAGGAGAGACAAATGAGCGCTCAAATGGGTCCCAAATTGGCGAGGCTTTCACTGATGGCTTGATGTATGTTGATGTCGATGCCCAGGATTGCCGCTGGGAGCAGGTAAACCCCAAGGCGATCACTGCTGATGAGCTCTATGGTACCATCGAGAAGGCTGTGCTTTTGCTGCTGTTTTTGTTCACAGTTTCCTTGACTCCGCAACGATTTTGATGTATCTGAGTGCCTTGCGCAGGGAGAGTGGAAAGATGGTGCCATTGCGGTGATCATGCGTAGCATGAGCAAGGCCTCGCCATCTCGTCCATCTCGTCCATCTCGTCCATCTCGTCCATCTCGTCCATCGTAGATGGGCCATCTCGGTGCATCTCTGTGTGCTATGTGCATCTCACAGGAGCTCAACGGCTACAAAGAGTCTCACAAACACAAGTGGGTGGTTCTGGACGGTGACATCGACGCAACATGGATCGAGTCCATGAACACTGTCATGGATGACAACAAGGCTGAAACGGGAGGGACGGGAGGGACGGGAGGGACGGGAGGGACGGGAGGGACGGGAGGGACGGGAGGGACGGGAGGGACGGGAGGGACGGGAGGGACGGGAGGGACGGTGCCAAAGTAAAAAAGGGAGAAGGATTTGAGAATGATGGGAGAAGGGCGGGAGAAGGTGTGAGAGCTCACGGAACGGATCGTTCACATCTCTGATTCTGATGGTTTCCAGGTCCTCACTCTGGTGAGCAACGAGCGCATCCCCTTTACCCCATCGATGAGGATGCTGCTTGAGATCCAGGACACATTTTACACATGTCATGTCTTGTATGCGAGCGCTGCTGTAGAAATGGGTTCCACTTTGGTTTGAAAAGGGCTGGTGCCCTCCTGGAGCCACTGGATTTAGCCAATTTCTTAACCTCTTGATTGAGGCTTTAATCTCGCGGGTCCGGTACCTCTGCATCCGTAAGTTCTCGCGTCGTAGTCACATGCTTTTTGGACGCTTATGAGCCATTTAGGAACCCTCCCCAAGAAATTGGCAACCCCTGGTCAAAAATGCTTCTGGGGAGTTGCAACCTATTGACTAATTGGCAATCCAAGCCCCAGAATTTATTCAATTTCATTTACAGTGCTTGCGCTGTATTGTATGTTCTCACAGCTGTGGGAGGATATGAAGCACGCAAGCCCTGCCACAGTGTCCCGTGGCGGGGTGCTGTACATCAACGAGTGTCTTGAATTGAAGAGAAACGCATCCAGTCATGCATAGCGCGCGATGTAATCTCAGGACCGATGTGGGGTGGAAGCCCTTTGTGGAAAGCTGGAGGGTGGCTAAGCTGAACAAACATGTCGCCACGCGCCGCTACGTATGTGGTGTCGGGCAAAGGAGCAGATGGATCCTGTGGCTCAGAGCACGTTCTACATGCTCTTCACGCACCAGTTCGAGGCGCATCTCTGTGTTGCACGTGTTGCACGTGTTGCACGCGCAACACGCTCTGCATCTCGTTGAGGGCAACATCGAGCAGCTCCGCAAGAACTTTGCCTTTACCTGCCCCATTCTGGACATGGGCTTTGCCTGTCCCTATAAGTTTTCTTTGCTCAGGGCCTTGTAGCCTTGAGTCCAGGTGCAGACGGTCACCTGCTTGCTGGATGCGCTGCTGGAAGGCGGGGGGGCGAACGCGGTCAGGCCGCAGGCCGCAGGCCGCAGGCCGCAGGCCGCAGACCGCAGGCCGCACGTGTTTCCACCCGCAGGTGGCAAGGATGAAGGCTGGCAAAATCCATTTGGCAC